TTATATTGCTAAATGGGAGGATCCTTGCTACAGACAGGACAGCAAAAGCTATGATAAATTCAAAAGAAGGCATGTTTCTCCCCATCTCCCTCCATATAGAGCAGTGTTTCCCAACCAGGGGGTCGGGACCCCTGGGGGGAGGGTTGTGAGGGGAGTGTCAGAGGAGCTGCCAAAGACCATCAGAAAACATAGTATTTTCTGTTGGTCATGGGGTTCTGTGTGGGAAGTTTGGCCCAGTTCTATCATTGGTGGGGTTCAGAATGCATTGTGATTGTAGGTGAACTATAAATCCCAGCTACTATAACTCCCAAATGACAAGGTCTATTTTCCCCAATATGCCAAAGTGTTCACATTTTGGCATATTAAGTATCCATGCCAAGTTTGGTCCAGATCCATCACTGTTTGAGTCCACAGCGCTCTCTGGATATAGGTGAACTACAACTCCAAAACTCAAGGTCAATGCCCACCAAACCCTTCCAGTATTTTCTGTTGGTCATAGGAGTTCTGTGTACCAAGTTTAGTTCAATTCCATCGTTGGTGGAGTTCAGAATGCTCTTTGATTGTAAGTGAACTATAAATCCCAGCAACTCCAACTCCCAAATGACAAAATCAACCCCCCAACCCCACCAGTAATCAAATTTAGGTGTTTTGGGTATTTGTGCCAAATTTGTTCCAGTGTATGAAAATATCCTGCATATCAGATATTTACATTACAATTCATAACAGTAGCAAAAATACAGTTACGAAGTAGAAACCAAAATAATTTTAATGTTTGGTATCACTACAACATGAGGAACTGTATTGAGGAATCAGAGCATTAGGAAGGTTGAGAAACGTTGTCCTATATCCCGAAACATTCTGGTCGACTGAACTTTGGAATGCATTAATCTGTTAATATGATCTTACATCATAAAACAACTTGGTAGATCTAATTTTGTTACTGATCTGCTGCCACTACACATTAAATTTTAGGACAAACTAATAGCTTCTGGGAGCCCCCAGTGGCACAGTGGGTTAAACCACTGAGCTGCTAAACTTGTTGACCAAAAAGTCTCAGGTTCGAATCCAGGGAGTGGGGTGAGCTTCCGCTGTCAGCCCCAGCTTCTGCCAACCTAGCAGTTTGAAAACATGCAAATGTGAATAGGTCAATAGGTACCATTCCAGCAGGAAGGTAATGGTGCTTCATGCAGTTGTGCCGGCCACATGACCTTGGAGGTGTCTACGGACGACGCTGCCTCTTTGGCTTAGAAATGGAGATGATCACCATCCCTAGAATCAGACACAACTAGACTTAATGTTAGGGAAAATCTTTACCTTACCTAATAGCTTCTAGGCAGGGCCACAGTATATTGATTAATAATGATGCTGATGGTGCATTCTTTGTTGTCAAAGTGTAGTGATGGGATTACTAACTAGCCATCCCCTTCCATGCGTTGCTGTGGCCCAGTCTGTGTATATGTGTTTTGTTTGTGTATGTATGTGTGAATATATTTGTGTATGAGTGTATATATGTGTGTTTGTGTATATATGTGGTTTTGTGCATGTGTTGTAATTTTTTTTGGCTTTTTGGCTTTTTAAATATCTTTTACTGTGTTTTTCCAGTGTTTTTTATGAGTAATGGTCACTTGTTGGCCTGATACATGTTTTGTGTCCAAATTTGGTGTCAATTCGTCCAGTAGTTTTTGAGTTATGTTAATCCCACAAACAAACATTACGTTTTTATTTATATAGAACTAGTTGTACCCACCACACATTGCTGTGGCCAACCTTCTCTCCCTCTCTCTCTCCTTCTTTCCCTCTTTCCTTTGCTCCCTCCTTCCTTTGCTCCTTCCTTCTCTCTTCTTCTTTCTTTCTCTCCTTCCATCCTTCTCTACCTCTTTCCTTCCTTCCCCCTTTTCCTTTTCCTTCTCTTTCTCTTCTTCCTTCCTTCTCTACCTCTTTCCTTCCTTCCTTTGCTTTTTATTTTCATCCTTCCTTCTCTTTCCTTCTTTCCTTCCCTCCTGCTTTTTCTCCTTCTTTCCCTCCTTCCTTCGCTCCCTCTTTCCTTTCCTTTTCCTTCTTCTCTTCCTTCTTTTCTTCTTCCTTCTCTTTCTTTCTTTCCTTCATTCCTTCCTTCCTTCCTTCCTTCCTTCCTTCCCTTCTTTCCTTCCTTCCTTCCTTTTCATTCCTTCATTCATTCATTCATTCATTCATTCTTTCTCTCCTTCCTTTCTTCCTTCCTTCCTTCCTTCCTTCCTTCTTTCCTTCCTTCTCTCTCTTCTCCTTCCTTCCTTCCTTCTTCTTCCTTCCTCTCCTTACCTTCCTTCCTTCTCTCCTTCCTTCCTTCCTTCCTTCCTTCCTTCTTCCTTCTCTCTTCCTTCCTTCCTTCCTTCCTTCTCTTCCTTTCCCTCTCTTTTCTTCCCTCCCTCCTCTCCCTTCCTTCTTTCTTTCTTTTCTCTCCTTCCCTTCTTCTTTCTTTCTTCTCTCTCTCTCTCTCTTCTCCCTTCCCTCCTTTTCTTCTGTATCGTCATTTAACTTTTTGTTATTTAGCTCTTTTGGGTTTTTAAGTTCTTTCCACTATTGTTTTTTTTTTGGGGGGGGATTATGAGTGATGGTCAATCGTTGGTCTGTTAGGGGTATAGTGTCCAAATTTCATGTCAGTTCGTCCAGTGGTTTTTGAATTCTGTTAATCCCACAAAGGAACATTACATTTTTATTTATTTAGATGGGAGCACCCTTGCTACAGACAGGAGAGCAAAAGCTATGACAAATTCCAAGAGAGGCATGTTTCTCCCTTTCTCCCTCCATGTAGAGGCTTGGGAGAAGCTCCAGCAGGAAAACAACCTCTTTCCTTCTGCATCAGTCATCATAAAGTATGAGTCACCCACATTTGCCTAAGAACTTCCTCCCTCTGATCCATTTTGAGCCAATGGCTGGGATGGTAAAGAGAGGGAGATGGCAAAGTGCATTGGGGAAATGCACCGCTAAGGCGTCCGGTTGCAAACAGAGGCCACTGGCCCTTTAAGGGGCTGTCCAGTCCCTCCTCTCTTCCTCCATTTTCCCCATCCCCTGTCTACACCAGCCCCCTCCTGCGCATCATTCCTGCAGCATCACTGTTTCTAGTGCCTTCCCTCCCAGCATCTCACCCTCAGAAGCTGGATGAGAGCAGCTGCCAGGGAGAGACGGGAATGACTGAGGTAGGGTATGAGGAGCACTTTGACTTTGCATAGAGGTTGAACTTGCTGGTTTCTCTACCCCACTCTCTCATGCCTTCATTTCCTTACTTATCGCATCACTTGGCTCCATCTGGGTCTCCATCTGCTTCACAATATTGCAGTTCACGGGATGATGTGACCTCTCTTCTCTTCCAAGTGTTTTCTGACCCCACGCCTACTTTAGATCCTGTTTTGAGTCCTATAGCCAGTTAACTTAGATCCTGTGTTTTTTAAAGCATAGGCAGGGAACAGAATTTGGGAGATGGGAGCGTTTGCTTCATAGAGAGCTATCTTAAAGTAAGAGACTTAGACAGTGGTGTTGTGCTCCTTAACTCTGTTTAAAGTGCGCCTCCTAAAACTACTACTCTCTTGACTAGGATGCAGGGCAACAGATTCAAATTGCTGGAAGAGAGATTCCAACTAACATGAATTTCTTGACAAGAGCTGCCCAGCCCTGGAATATTCTCCCTTGGGGTGTGGTGGACTCTCCCTCTCTGGAGGTTTTTGAAGCAGAGGGTTGTTATGACTTTTCTGGGCTGTGTGACCATGTTCCAGAAGCATTCTCTCCTGACATTTCACCTGCATCTATAGCAGGAATCCTCAGAAGTTGTGAGGTCTGTTGGAAACTAGGAAAATGGGGTTTATATATATCTGTTCAGGGTGGGAGAAAGAACTCTTGTCTGTTTGAGGTAGGGGTGAATGTTTCAATTGTCCACCTTGATTAGCGTTTTATGGCCTAGTAGCTTCAAGGTCTGTCTTCTTACTGCTGGGGGAATCCTTTGTTGGGAGGTGATTAGCTGGCCCACCCTGGACATTCCACAGATAAATAAACCCCATTTTCCTAGTTTCTTTTTTCTTTTTTATTATTGTATCATACATAAAAACATACAATCTTCAAAATTAGCAGTCAAAATACCAAAATACCAGTATTTTCTCCAATCCCACCACCACCACATCCCCATCTCTCCCCCCCCCCCCCCCCCCCCAACCCAGGAACAGATTACTACTTTTGCATTGCTTATTGCAATTGTTCAATCACAAGGATAGTCTTATTTAACTCCTAATATTTATCTATCCACTTTATTCTGGAAATGAGACCCTTCCATTTTTCCTCATTTCCAACAGACCTCACAACCTCTGAGGACACCTGCCATAGATGCAGGCAGAACTTCAGGATATATATAAAAACCTCCCTTGTCAAGTTTCCCATATACCTCACAACCTCTGAGGATTGTTGCCATAGATGTGGGAGAAACTTCAGGAGAGAATGCTTCTGGAACATGGCCATACAGCCTGGAAAACTTACAACAACCCAGTGATTCTGGCCATGAAGCCTTTGACAATACATCATTATTTTTCCAATCCAACTTGTAGCTAAAGCCTGTAAACATTATTCCAGGGGACTACAAATCCCAGGAGCCCCCAGCCATTACTTCTCCAGGCCATGGTTGCTAATGAATTCTGAGATGTTGTTAATCTAAAATAACTTGTCCAAGTTCTGATTGTATTTTTTTTTGGTTGCTGTGAGTTTTCTGGGCTGCATGGCCACGTTTCGGATGCAGAAGAAACATCAGGAGATAATGCTTCTGGACCATGACCATACAGCTTGAAAACTCACAACAACCCAGTGATTCCAGCCATGAAAACCTTCGATAATACATTTTAAAGCAGAGTTTAGATGACTATCTCTTGGGAGTGTTTTGATTGTGGGTTCCTGCATGACAGAGGACTGGACTGGGTTGGCCCTTGGGGGTCTCTTCCAACTCTATGATTCTATGACTTTTGTCTCCTTTCTCCTCTCCACAGCTGTTATGTATGCTGAACCATCCACCATGAATTTCCGGAACCATGGGTTCTTCCGCCGCTCTCCGCCTCCTTCCGTGGCGAAACCCTCACCTGTCCCCGGGAACAGTTTGTCCGTCTTAGGAGGCATTGCTCAGATCTCCCCATGCCTCTATCTCTGCTCTGGCAATGCTGCAGCCAACCGGCACATGGTCTACGCCAGGGCTGTGACTTGTGTCGTGAATGCCACCATGGAAATCCCCAATGCCAACTGGCCAGACATTGACTACGTCAAGGTACCTGTCCCCGACCTCCCTCATGCTCCTCTCTCCTTGTACTTCGACTCTGTGGCTGACCGGATACACCAGACAGGGAAGAAGAATGGGCGAACCCTTGTCCACTGTGTGGCCGGTGTCAGTCGGTCCGCCTCTCTCTGTATAGCCTACTTGATGAAGTACCACCGGCTGAGTCTCTTGGATGCCCACGAGTGGGTCAAGAACCGGCGACCCGTTGTCAGGCCCAACGTAGGCTTTTGGAGGCAGCTCATCGAATATGAGCGCAAGCTCTTTGGCAAGAACACTGTCAAGATGGTGCCCTCGCCCATTGGGTTGGTCCCAGATGTCTATGAAAAGGAGACCCGTGGCTTGGTGCCTTTGTGGAACTTGAGATAGACACCGGGCTACCTTGGGAAGGTGGTTGGGTGGTGGGTTTCCTGGATTTAGGGTCAAAATATTCTGCCATGTTATACCTTCCGGCAGTGTGGAACTTGATGAGAAATTCTGTTATTATAAACAATACAGTATCAGTAGATTATGGAAAAGATTTGAGTCACTTGAGCTGTTCTAATGTGGTTTGGTTCCGCCATGCCAGTTAATGCTGAATATATATATATATAGCTTGTATTCTGGGAAGATGGTTCAAAACAAAGTACAGACGGCATTTCTTATAAAAACAGAAGCTCTGAAGTCTTCATAAATTAATGCTTTCTTTGCGAGAAGACAGGGAAAATAATAATATTTCCAGTTTAGAGCATTAGAACCATTTCCCAGCAGCAGGGCCTGGGTTTACTTTAAACACTTTCGCTCTCAGGGAGTGAAATTGAAGTGCTAAAGTGATGGGAATGAATATCAACATTACTCAAAAGGCTGAATGAATATTCTGCTAATAAGTAGATACAAACCAAGACAATAGCACTTCCAACAAAAGAAAGAAAAATTCAGCACTGGAAGGTGGAAGGAAACTGTAATACAATTATTTTAACTGGATTTAGCAATCTGGCTCATGGGCATAATGAATGCGCCTATTTTTAGTTGGCTGTCCAAACCCAAATGTGGAGAAGAAAGCAGAAATGTTAATATTATCTCAGCGTATCACAGTATAGGGCTTATTCAAAGCTGTGGAGCACAAATGGCACCAAGCAGGGTAGAATTTTTGTATAGTTTGGAAAGAGTCTTGAGTGCAGATATATTTATTTTTTATAATAACCAGAGATTATAGTTCAGTATCAAAAGCTAATTCCTTTCCATTTCCTCAACAGGAACAAAGTACTTTATAGTTGGTTGTGCGTATGTGGTAAAGAACAGGGTGATTTTCTAAACACACTTTAAAAGAAAGCATAGCTATCTGAGAAAAGCCTTGGTAATTAGGAATTGATGTGTGTCCTTTCCATTCCCCCGACAGGAACAAAATACTTTATAGTTGGTTGTGTGTGTGTGTGTATGTGTTAAAGAACAAGGTGATTTTCTAAACATACCTTAAAAGAAACATAGCTATCTGAGAAAAGCCTTGGTAATTAGAAATAAGGATTGATGTGTGTTTAAAAGCTTTTTTGGAAGGCATGATATCAGCAGCAAATATGTAATTGCACTGTGATGAGGAGCAAAGTTCCAAAGTGCAAGAGAAAAGTAGTTTCCAAGGTTAGAAGAAGTGACCAGAGTTAAATGAATACTCAATTGAAAACTTTTGAAAGTATTTCATGAACAATTAAGGACTTGGGATCTTTCAAGCCCTGGATTTTTTGGGGAGAGAAAGAGCCAAGTTGGGGATACAAACTTGTGTTGTAGGCGCAAATGCTTCAAGGGGATATTTAAAGGCAAAAGCCCAGCATTTTAAATCCCTACATGTTAAGGAAATTATAAATTGAGAAACCTCTGTCATCAAGAAGTTTGGGTTTGGATGGACTTAGCTACTAGAACTCACCAGACTCTTTGGTACATGGTGATTTCTAACACTCTCATAATTAATACCAATTTGGGGAGACTATGCAAAGCATGGTTTAGTAGCAGTTTTACAATGGTGCTTTCCTTTCCAGATCAAAGAATGTATTTCATCCTCACTTTTGGAGGCTTCACTCTATGGACCATTCAGATCAATTCCATCTACATATAAATCAGATGGAGCTAAAACAGTGGTTCTCAACCCGTGGGTTCCCAGGTGTTTTGGTCTACAACTCCCAGAAATCCCAGCCAGTTTCCCAGCTGTTAGGATTTCTGGGAGTTGAAGGCCAAAACATCTGGGGACCCACAAGTTGAGAACCACTGAGCTAAAAAGTTCTAGATATTGAATTGATTGCGGTTCAAAGTTGTCGGTAGATCAGTCTGTGTTTTGGAAATGGATTGCTTATAGATAGCCTGCTTTATGGTTTCTTTAAGAACTGGGACTCTCAGTATGTATGAAGATGGGATTTTTTAAATCTTGTTATACTAAAAAAAAACCATTGTAGAGCTTTCTTGTAGAGCACATAGATAAGCTCTAGGTCCCTACTGCACAATATTGTCTCTCCCAAACTAAGCAATTCAAGGTTTCAGATACTTGGAATTAAAAAGCTGTCCCTCCCTCTCCATACCATGGATAAACAAGTGGATCATTTCATGGAAGGTAATTATATGGCCTTCCAAATGTTGTTGGATTGCAGCTCCAAGCATTTCTTAACGTTAGTTGTGTTGGTACTGTGAGGAACGTAGCCCCAACGACATTTGGAAAGCCATATAACCTCCAATCTGGGATATTTAATGAATGTTTGTATGTGTGAGTTGTCATCTGGTATAGACACTTATGTAGCAAATTTTGACTTTTTATTTGTGAGGCAATAACTCTTTCTTTATTTATAGTTTCACCTTGTGAGCTGTCATTTGGTGACAGCCTTATAAAAATATAGACATACCGTTTTATTGGGGTGGAACCCCTTTTTTTGGAGCATTTAGGAAGACCCTTTGGTTTACATTTTGAGGCATCTTGTTATTTCAGTAGTTTCCTGTGTGAAAATTATTAGGTGTTATGAGTTCATTTAATGAAGGAAGAGACGAATTGCATGTGGGAAAAATGGAAAACGTGGAAATTTTGAATAAAACCTTCAACATCTGTTTGACACCTTAGAACAGTGGTTCTCAACTTGTGGGTCCCCAGATATTTTTGCCTTCAACTCCCAGAAATCCTAACAGCTGGGAAAGTGGCTGGGGTTTCTGGGAGTTGTAGGCCAAAACACCTGGGGATCCACAGGTTGAGAACCACTGCCTTAGAATAGTGTGGAAATCCAGATGTTGGACTGCAGTTCCCATCAGCACCAATGTGTCAATGGTAATGAATGCTGGGAGACACATTCCAGCAACAACTCAAGGTCCAACACTATTCCTGCCTCTTGCTTTAGGTTGAAATAATATCTACATTCACAAGTAGATTAGAAATTGACAATATTATTGAGTATAAGGTTATTATATAGTTATTTCCCCCCACTCATAACAAATCTTTCCCAGTCACATATACTTTTGCTTTGTGCCTTTCTGGACTTATTTTCTTATTGACTATTTTTCACCTTTTATGAAGGAGCTGAAAGGGATGTCAAGAAGCATCAGCCCGTAGTCTCATTCTTCAAAATCAGACACAAAGCTCTCAAGGTTGAAAAGAGCTTATAATTTACCCACATTACTATGACCATAGGTGAAGGGAGACTTTTTCTGATTACACATAATCCTGGCTAAATCAAGGGTCATGCAGACATTGAAAAATATATCCTAAACTTCAGCTATCTCAAAGGAATGTATTGGGCTTGGAGTATGAGTTGGTCTTCCTTTCAAATGGTATATATGTGTATATATAAATATATAAAGCCTTCTAGTTCTGTAAACTTTGTACATACTAGAGGACTCAAAAGTTTCAAAACAAAGCTCTATATTCATTAAAAGTTAGGGTTTCTTATGGCTTCAGTTTGGTCACAAAATACGTTAATAAAAATCAAAATGGAAAGAAGCTGGTTTTCCTAGTTTTTTTTTAATTTTCTTCTTAATTTTGGTTTGTGTTCCTTTATGAAATAATGCCCCATCTGAACGTGTGGTAAGACGAAATGCAAAAGTTGAAAGCATAGCTTTGGGGCAAAATGAGAGCATTGCCTCCCCAGCAAGAATTTTTCTTCCCAAATTTCTAGTGTTGCAGAGAAACATACCGAAAAGCATTCATACTGGATTGTTGTGAGTTTTCTGGGCTGTATGGCCATGTTCCAGAAGTATTCTCTCATGATGTTTTGCCTGCATCTATGGCAGTCATATTCAGAGGTGCTGCATCCCCATAGATGCAGGTGAAATGTCAGGAGAGAATGCTTCTGGAACATGGCCTTACAGCCCAGAAAACACACAACCACCCAGTGATTCCAGCCATGAAAGCCTTTGACAATATATAGCATTCATACTCTTGTATTTGCTGTGTCATTCCCTTGTGGTAACCTTGCTTGCCCTTTCTTTGAATCTTCAGATGTACTTTTAAAATGCTCAGCTGGCATTTTGAGTTACTTCGGTACTAGAAATTTGAGAAAGAACATTGAAAGCCTTCATCTCGATCCCCTCCGTAGCTACATCCTTGGCAGAAACAGGGCTCAGCCGATGGGCAGTTATACTCTTTGCACATCCAGATTACAAAGAATGGTTCCCACATGATTATGAAGCAAGCTGACGCCAGTCATGGTAAAATAAACACATTTGGACTAACTCCGTGATGCTTTCTGAGGCCCAGGGAGGAGACTTGGCCAGAGCGCTGCCTTTCAAAATAATTAATTCTGGATTAAATGGATCTAATGAGACTACTTTGCACAGAGCAGCTCATTGCTCTGGGCACCAAAAGCCAGCCGTCAGGCTCCAAACTTGCAGTCCACTTATGATGAGTTTTCAATTAACACAATCTATATAGTTGGGTTTAATCCTGACCATAACAATGGATCTTTTTAACATTACATGCCATGGATGAACATGTCTGGAAAACTTACTTTTGATTGGTTTTAATAAAGGAATAATAGAATCATAGAGTTGGAAGAGACCTTGTGAGCTATCCAGGCCAACCCCCTGCCAAGAAGCAGGAAAATCACATTCAAAGCACCCCCAACAGATGGCCATCCAGCCTCTTTTTAAAAGCCTCCAAAGATGGAGCCTCTACCATCTCCAAATCAGGGTTATAGAAGGACTCTGCTATTTAAGCTTTCACAAGGGCTAATTTATATTGTTTTTATTGTTTGGCATTTGGGGTCTCTTTAAGAGAGATAAGGAGAATAGATACAAATAGTAATAATAATAATAGATACAAATAATAATAATAATGATAATAATAATAAATAAAAAAATAAAGTATGGGTTTCAATGTTGCAATCCCAGGTGACAGCAGAATTGACGAGAAGCAACTGGAAAAGCTTACACAATATGAAGATGTACAGATAGAACTGCAAAGACTCTGACATAAGCCAGTAAAGGTGGTCCCAGTGGTCAGCACACCAGGTGTAGTGCCTAAAGACCTTGGCCTGCACTTAAAAACAATAAGCATTGACAAAATTACCACCTGTCAGCTGCCTGAATATCAAGCAAAAAGTGGGCGCTAGAAATAATATCATACGAAAGCTGACTGGCACAACCTGGGGATCACAACCAGACACAGTGAAGACATCTGCCCTTGCGCTATGCTACTCTGCTGCTGAGTATGCATGCCCAGTGTGGAACACATCTCACCACGCTAAATTACAGTGTCTAGCCGGTATTGCACCACCTGACATCCGCCGGGAAGTAGCAGACAACAGTGAAAGGACCAAGGCAGTGACATCTCCAGCCCATCCCTTGTTTGGGTATCAGCCAGCACGTCAACAACTTAAATCAAGAAATAGTTTTCTTAGATCTACAGAGACACTCGCTGGAACACCTCAGCAAGCGAGAGTCCAAAAGTGGCAGGCTCAAACCCAGAACCTCAATCCATGGCTGATACCAAATGAGACTCCCCCCTGGGCACACAGAAAACTGGGCGAATTGGAAGGCGCTGAACAGACTGTGCTCTGGCACCACGAGATGCAGAGCCAACTTTAAGAAATCGGGCTACAAAGTGGAATCCACGACAAGCGAGTGTGGAGAACAGCAAACCACAGACCACCTACTGCAATGCAACCTGAGCCCTGCCACATGCACAATGGAGGACCTTCTTGCAGCAACACCAGAGGCACTCCAAGTGGTCCAGCTACTGGTCAAAGGACATTTAATCAACTACCGAGCCTGCAAACTTTGTGTTTTGTTTGTTTGTTTTGTTAAAAAATGCAACGCAACTGTTTTCTAGGTCCTCCAGGTTTATTTATTTATTGTGTCTGCTCCTGACACAATAAATAAATAAATAAACTTGGAGGACCTAGAAAATTCCTAAAAAAGACCATTATTTCTCGGAGAGGAGGAAGTGGAGCTGCAAATATAGAATCCATGGTTATAGTGATGTACTGAAATATGGTATGTACATTATGTAGCAATGTAAGTTACAGAACCAACTGACAGGAAAAAAACATGGAATATCGTCTGGGTGGCATATGCAGGGCTCCAAAAGGAAAACACAAAAGCCTGATTCGTATGCACATTCAGGGCAACAAAGTGCCAGAGAATGTGTTTCCTTGACACCCATCTCCAAGAACAGCTTCTTGTCCCACAAATATAATTAGTTGTGTGGTATCATATTGCTTAAAGGCACTCCTTTGCCACGTGGTATGATCACGCTGCAGAGAAATGCATAAAGACTCCCCTCCCTGCGTAGTGGAGACTTTGTTTCATGAGATCTAGAAGCTTTTTAGTACAAGAAACTGGACTTTTTACAGATCTGTACCAGATACCTAGGTAAAGGTAAAGATTTTCCCCTGACATTAAGTCCAGTCGTGTCCGACTCTGGGGGTTGGTGGTTATCTCCATTTCTAAGCCAAAGAGCCAGCACGGTCCACAGACACCTCCAAAGTCATATGGCCGGCATGACTGCATGGAGTGATATTACCTTCCCACCGGAGCGGTAGCTATTGATCTATTCACATTTGCATGTTTCCAAACTGCTAGGTTGGCAGAAGCTGGGGCTGACAACGGGAGCTCACCCCACTCCCTGGATGCGAACCTGCAACTTTTTGGTCAACAAGTTCAGCAGCTCAGCGGTTTACCCACTGCGCTACCGGGGACTCCGGTACCTGATAACATTGAATTATGCAGCATACAGATTTGTAAACAGTATTGAAGGTGAATGTGTTCAGCAAGAACACAACGATACAAAAGGGGGGGCATGAAATGGTCTTAGAATCATAGAATCATAGAGTTAGAAGAGACCTCATGGGCCATCCAACCCCCTGCCAAGAGCAGGGAAATTGCATTCAAATCACCCCTGACAGATGGCCATCCAGCCTCTGTATAAAAGCCTCCAAAGAAGGAGCCTCCAGCACACTCTGTGGCCAAAAAGATATTTTATTTAAGGGATTAAAAAAAACATTTCAAATCTTTTCCAGCCATATGAAACTTCCAACACACAACATTTACAACAGGGAAACATGTTCCCTGATAACAAATCATTCTCCTTCGGGCTGCACCAAGAGCGAAGGCAAACCTATGCTTGCGAGACATAAAAATACACTCATGTTCCCTGGGCTGACGTGGAATAAAAGTAAACAAATTGCACTCTCTTCCAATACATACTTCACTTCTCAGATGGGGAAAATGATAAGACCACCATCAATAACAGTATCCAAACAGCTCCGGTATTTCTCAAGGAACTGAATATCTCCATCCTTCTGCAACTCTTCCTTTCAGAGCAGATATAATTTCAGGAGATGAGTACTTGCCTCTAACGGAGGCCATCACGCCCCATTTTGTTGATAACAAAAAATGGCAACAGCAGCAAAAAGTTGACAGCTTATGCAAGGCTTTGTAACTTATGTTTGGAGTGTAAAACAAAGTAGTCCATCTCTCCTGGCTGTCGGGTCGGCCAAATGCATACTTCTCTTCACAACCTGGTCAACAGTCAACCCATCAAGGCCCCCTTCCTGCCCCAAGTCAATCGCTTTCCTCATCTGAGCTGATGACCCCACGAAGGGAGGACCAGTCTGTAGTGGGACGGCGGATAGGGCCTTCCTCTGGGGAACTGGGAGGATCCTGAGGCTTGCTGTAGAGACTCCAGACGTTGCGACGCCTTGGACGGCCTTTGAAGAGGGAAGGAGCGAGAGGAAGAGCATTTAGTAAAAATGCAACAAATGTGAGTCACCTTCACACACACTTATAGGCCTCTATTGGCCAAGCTCACTTGTTTTGCCTCCCTCAGAAAATATATTTATTTATTTATTATTTTATTTACTATATTTGTATACCGCCCTTCTCAGCCCTCAGGAGACACTCGCTAGAACACCTCAGCAAGTGAGAGTCCAAAAGTGGCAGGCTCAAACCCTGAACCTCAATCAATGGCTGATACCAAATGAGAGACTCCCCCCGGGCACACAGGGCGGTTTACAAAGGCAACAATTTGATGCCCAAACACCATAAAACATTTAAAAACATTACTATATAATATTAAACCATCACAAAAGCAATAAAAACATCAATCATTTGCGTTTCCTAATTAAAATGTTGTCCAATCTCATCCTCCATAATATATAAGCATACTTTCAGAGCTAAATCTTTCTCAGCAATGTTGGAACTAAACCACATCCTGCACAAGTTTATAGTCCTCATCAAGGAAATAGATAAGGAAGATGAGATAGTTGGCAGGGACCGCCTCCCCTACCACTGCCTTCTTTGTCTGCCTCTCTTTTTCTCCTATTTGTTAGACTACTTGTCAGGACATGCCTCTTTTTATTTGAAGTTTCCCTGCCAGATGGCAAGCCTCTGAGTCTTCCATTTTGTTCTCCTGTGAGCATGGAGATGTCTCCAGAGATATAGATAGCTAGGCCTTAACCTTCATATAAAGAAATGTAGTTCTTTCTAAAGAGTCTTATCAGGAACCATAGAGTTAAGGAAGCTGCATACCAGAACATACCTGAACAGCAGCCCCTGGTGGCGTAATGGGAAAACCCTTGTGCCTACTGAACTACTGGCTGAAAGGTTGGCAGTTTGAATCTTGGGAGCAGGGTGAGCTCCCATCTGTCAGCTCCAGCTTCTCAAGCAGGGACATGAGAGAAGCCTCCCATGTCCCTGGGTGCAGACTGCCAATTCTCTCACACCAGAAGCGACTTGCAGTTTCTCAGGTCGCTCCTGACATTAAAAAAAAAGTCTTTTGTAACTTTTAAAGCTTGACTCTGCTCTTCTATTGCTGAAGCTCATTTGCTCTAATGCTATGCTCAAGAAGCTTCTGATCTGCTAGAAAAGCAATTGTTGCTGATTGACATTTTTCCTTTTTGAAATTCCCCAACAGCTTATTCCAGACTGTCAGACTCTGCAAGATCTTGGAGTAAAAATCAAGCTCACGACAATAAAACGCTGGAGACAAGTGGTTTATTCCTTCTATCCACAATCCTACAAAGACAGTTCTAAAGCTTTCCCTCTCAAACGTCCTGTATATATCAGCCCCAACTCCCATCCGCCCCCTGGTGGCCAAACACTGTGCCCACAGTTTGTTCACTGCACTTTCAATGGCTTTCACAAAACAGATGTCTTATCTACACTACCTTCCCTAACTTTACCCAGCCTCCCTCCCCTTTACCTCCCTTCTTTATGGCAGAGAACTGAAGAAACCAGTCCCAGGCTGATACGGTGATCCTGACATATACACTAGAGAGTAAGTCTGGTGTAGTTCTTTGGGGCTGCATTATGACTGGAGATCAGGAATGGGCGCCGCATGGTGGGCCAGAGTGAGGAGGGTGGGCTGGGGGGGGGGGGGGGTTCTTCCCAAGCCCCCTCCCTGTGCTTTCCTCCCCTTCCTCTTCTCTCTAAGAGGCAGAAAGTGAAGAAAAGACAGGAAACATATAGATCTCAAAAGGGTTAGCCTTGGTCAGGATGAGATGGTGGACGGGGGAGAAAAAGTGTATCCATGAGACCCCGTATTGCCTACTCCTGAAATAGAATCCTAGAGCTAGAAGAGACCCCCAAGGGCCATCCAGTTCAACCCCATGCCATGCAAGAAAGCACAATCAAAGTACTCCCGATAGACAGCCTCTGCAGAAAAGCCTCCATCACACTCCGAGGCAGCCTATGCCACTCTCTTATAGCTTTTACTCTCAGGAAGTTTTTCCTATTCTTTTCAGTCGAATCTCTTTCTCTGCCCTTTGAACCAATTGCTCCCTTGTGTGTTGCTCTCTAGAGCAGCAGAAAGTCAGTTTTCTCCCTCCTCCTCCTCAACAGGAGACCCTTTAAACTCTTGAAACATGGCACCCCGACAGAATTAGAACAGAAAAAATATTTGCTTGTTTCTAAATGTTTCCGAGTTCGTACCCATGGACCAGGATTGTAAACCACTAGTAAAAGCTCTCTGCTCTTTGGTTCCTTGCATCACATCTGACTTTACCTTCTGTGGTGATAATGTTGCTCAGGTCAAGTGAAGCCACCTCAGCCGCTTCTTCACGCTTCTTCTTCAGATCCTTGCACTTTGCTAGAGATGGTGCCCCTAAGGAAATGGGAGAGAAAGTACAGGCTGAGAAGTGTATTACACGGAGAAGTGTTCACCAATGATGCCTGAGACTCAGAAATTTACACTATCTGAAACAGAGATACCCCCATTTCCTTGGTGGGAATCCAGTGGCTCTCAAAAGTGCCCAAGAGGCAAAAATGACAGATTCTCTCTATCATATATAGCAGTGCTTCTCAACCTTCCTAATGCTGCAACCCTTTAATACAGTTCCTCATGTTGCAGTGACCCCCAACCATGAAATTATTTCTGTTACTACTTCATAACTATAATTTTGCTACTCTTATGAATCGTAATGTAAATATGCGATATGCAGGATGCATAAACTAAATTTGGCACAAATACTCAATATGCCCAAATTTGAATACTGGTGGGGTTGGTAAACTATAAATCCCAGCAACTACAACTCCCAAGTGTCAAGGTCTGTTTTCCCTAAACTCCACCAGTGTTAACATTTGGTCTTATTGAGTATTCGTGCCAAGTTTGGTCTAGATATATCATAGTTTTAGTCCACAGTGCTCTCTGGGTGTAGGTGAACTACAAGTCCCAAAGTTAAGGTCAATGCCCACCAAACCCTTCCAGTATTTTCTGTTGGTCATGGGAGTTCTGTGTGCCAAGTCTGGGTCAATCCCATTGTTGGTGGAGTTAAAAATGCTCTTTGATTGTAGGTGAACTATAAATCCCAGCAACTACAACTCCCAAATGACAAAATCAATCCTCCCCCAACCCCACTAGTATTCAAATTTGAGTGTATTGGGCGTTTGTGCCAAATTTGGTCCAGTGAATGAAAATACATCCTGCATATATTTACATCACAATTCAAACAGTAGCAATGAAAATAATTTTATGTTTGGGGGGCACTACAACATGAGGAACTGTGTTAAGGGGTCGTGGCTTTGGGAATGTTGAGAAACACTACTCTATCTCTTCTGGCCCTGGTCTGTCTCTGTGAGCATTTCAACCTGAGGAGACACAGACTCAGTAAAAATCCCACCATCTCCTGCATTCTCTGAATCAGAAAACCCAGCATTCCCAGTATCTGGCTGCTGAGCCCCAACAGAAGGTGTATCTGCATTGATTTAGGTGTATCTGCACTGTTAAAGCAGGTTTCTCGCATGTCTCTCTCTCTTGATGAAGATTCAATCAGTTTAATTCTGTAGTCGACAGATGAATAGATTAGCTTGGGACCAAATGCCTTCACTTACCTTTCATGCCAAGGTTTTCTAACTCCCGTTTGAGGATCTCCTCCTGGGCTTTGCGGGATCGGCAACCCTCAAACAATTTCTTGTAATTCCGCCTCGCTCCACATTCCCGGATGTAGCGCTTCAGGCGTCGGATGGAGGGGTGCTCCTCACCTTTCCCAGAATGACTGTCTTTGTCCTGCAGGAGTCAGGAATTCAGGAAAGAGGGGGAGATTAGCGTATGGGACACAGCAGGCATTCCATACAGCTTCATATACCCACTGATGCAGACTGGTCAATATTAAGTGAATTGATTGATTCATTGTTTAAGAGTTTCAAAATCTTCAACACTTGCTCGTTTAAAAGCATTTAATCTTGGAATGAAATTACAAAATAAAGAGTTATATATTTATTTGCATTTGTTAAAATGCTAGATGCTGAAACTAATACAGGTAATCCTTGAGATAGGGCCCCTTGGTGGCACAGCTGGTTATCCGCTGAGCTGCTGAACTTGCTGGCCAAAAGGAAGCCCCAGCTTCTGCCAACCTAGCAGTTTGAAAACATGTAAATGTGATTATATCAATAGGTACCTTTAGCAGATACCATGCTAAAACAGTGGATGTGACTCTTAATGAGACATGCCGCATTATCACGGGGTGTCTGTGCCCTACACCACTGGAGAAATTACACTGTCTAGCCGGTATCGCACCACCTGACATCTGCCGGGAAGTAGCAGCCAATAGTGAAAGGACCAAGGCAGTGACATCTCCAGCCCATCCCTTGTTTGGGTATGAGCCAGCACGTCAACGACTTAAATCAAGAAATAGTTTTCTAAGATCTACAGAGACACTCGCTGGAACACCCCAGCAAGCGAGAGTCCAAAAGTGGCAGGCTCAAACCCAGAACCTCAATAAATGGCTGATACCAAATGAGAGACTCCCTCCTGGGCACACAGAAGACTGGGCGACTTGGAAGGCGCTGAACAGACGGCGCTCTGGCACCATGAGATGCAGAGCCAACCTTAAGAACTGGGGCTACAAAGTGGGATCCACGACATGCGTGGAGAAGAGCAAACCACTGGCCATCTGCTGCAATGCAGCCTGAGCCCTGCTACATGCATAATGGAGGACCTCCTTGCGGCCACACCAGAGGTCAAAGGACATTTAATCAACTACCACGCTTGCAAACTTTGTGTTTTGTCTGTTTGTTTTGTTAAAAATGTAATACAAATGTTTGGTTGCTCCTGACACAATAAATAAATACCTCAAATGTAAAGCCTTGATGAAATCCTGGGAAAATCTTAAAACCAAGTAGCGAGGGAGGATTAGGAGAAAGCAGTTTTCTGGGAATTGTAGCAAAGTGTAATGTCTGATGTCAACAACCCCATTATCTTACCTTTCCTTGATGGTGCTGTTTAGAAGAAGTGCGGTTATCTTTTTCATCTGAGCTGGATGATTCTTCCTCCTCCGCAGATTCATTCTCGGATCCTTCCTTCGGTCTTCTTTTGGGCTTCTCCTTTGCTTTCTTTTGCTGGCCTTGACTTTGTTTCCTTTTCAACCTCCCAGAGTCCTCAGAATCAACCTCTGATTCCGTGTCGCTGTCCCTTTTGGACTTTTCTGCTCCTTTCTTTTCCTCCTGGTCAGATTCACTCTCAGACATACTGTCGCTCTTCTTTTTCTGTTCCTTTTTCTTTTTCTGAATCGTAGTTTCACACTCTACTGGCCCACTCTCGTATTCGTCGCTGCTTAGAGCTGTCTTCCGCCCCTGGCTTTTCTCCTTTTCTTTCTCTTCTGTCTCACTCTGCAATTCACTTTCACTATCACTGGATTTCTGCATTCCCTTCTTATTTTGTTTCAAGCCCTTCCGCTTGTCTGAATCAGTTTCTGAATCTTCACTGCTTGCGCTCCCCTTGGGCATGCCTTGTTTCTTCCTCTCCTGTCCTTCCACCAGCCTCTTTCTGCCCACATTCTTCTTCTGTGTCCTTTTCAATCCTCCTCTCTTAGGCTGGTTCTCATCTTCCGAATCACTCTCGGATTTAGAGCTCCATTTTTCTTCACTTGCCTTTCTAGTTTTCCCTTTCTGTTTTGTCACCTTCATTTGACTTTTGCCCTCACTGTTGTCTGAATCACTGTCCAGTTTTTCTATGCTCATGCCTTTTTTCTTCTGTTTACTAATTGCCGTATTCTTCCGGCCCTTGGGTCTCTTCTCTGACTCACTTTCCGAATCATCCTCACTCTCGGTCTCCTCCTGAGACTTCCGAGTTCTCCCTTTTGCCTTGCCTTCCCCCTTTTTGCAGTGACCTCCTTTCTTTTCCTCTTCACTCTCACTCCAGTCACTTCTTTTCTCCCCATGAGCCCTCCCCACCTTAATCGACTCACTTTCCTCTTCTGACTCATTCTTATTTTTCCTCCTTTGCCCACCAACCTTCCTGTTCTCACCTTTGGCAGCAGTCTGTTTCTGTTCTTTGTTAAACGTTTGCTTTTTCTGGATCTCCTGCTCAGAGTCGCTTTCTGACTCTGAATTTGCTTCTTCTTTGGCCTCTTCTTCCGAATCACTCTGTTGCTCTTCAGTGGTTTCCTCAGACTCACTCCCAGATTTGTCTCTCGGTCTCTTGCCACCAGGCCCCTTAGATTTCTTACCACCTTTTTGTTTCTCGTTTCTTGCTCTTTGGGGTGGTTTCTTTCTTATGCTCTTTGAGACGAACCCATCGCTCTCTGATCCATCTGTATGGCCTTCTGCTCCACTGTCTTCTTGCTCAGAAGAACCTGAGGACTTCCCAGCACGTTTTGAGCCAACGCGAAGTGGAAGCTTCTTAGAGTCAATCCCAGAATCTTCTTCATCAGAACTGGTTTCTGGAAGAGGAAAGAAAATGGGGGAAATGCAACATGTGCCAGAAGGGCTTCACTACTGTTTGACCAGCTCTGTAATTCCTTGGCTACTTATAGTAAGTACAGATTCGACAACTCCCATCACTGCCAGGCAAACTGGGAATATTTATTTATTTATTTTCAAATATTTGTACCCCACCCTTCCCTAACCCCAAAGGGGGACTCAGGGCGGCTTACGGCCAGCAACAATTCGATGCCCCATATATACAACAGAACTCATTTGGATTTTTACCTAGCACCAAAACTCATTTGGATTTTTTCAGATTCCAAATCCCTTTATCTGCATATACATATATTAGAACTGTCAAACTCATTTTCAGTGAGGGGTACATCAACCTTAGAGCTGCCTTCAAAGGTCCATTGAATCCACAGAGGGAGAATTTGAGGATACAGAGAACCAACTATCATTTCTGTACATTATCAGTGAGGAACCAGAGAAATCTAACACCACAATAGACTTTTCATCTCATTTCTTCGCATTTCTACAGTTGCATATCTGTCAGTAGAACATTTGCAGGGAAAACAGCAAATGCATTTATATTCTTAGGGCCTTACATTAATTAAACTAGACTCATTTGTATATTTAATGAGGACTTGGTCGTTGTGTTGTCGAAGGATTTCATGGCTGGAACCACTGGTTTGTGTGTGTTTTCCAGGCTGTCTGGCCATGTTCCAGAAGCATTCTCTCCTGACATTTTGCCCACATCGATGGCAGGCATCCTCAGAGATTGTGAAGTCTGTTGGAAACTAGGCAAGTGGAGTTTATGTATCTGTGGAATGTCCAGGGTGGGAGAAAGCACTCTTGTCTGCTAGGGGAAAGTGTGTATGTTGCAATTGGTCACCTTGATTAGCATTGAATGGCCTTGCAGCTTCAAAGACTGGTTGCTTCCTGCCTGGGGGAATCCTTTTTGGGGGGTGTTAGCTGGCCCTGACTGTTTGAGTGTTCCTCTTTATTTACTGACCTTATTTCCTCCCTATGGACAGGAAAGCTTGGAGAAGACAATGATGCTGGGGAAAATGGAAGGAAAAAGGAAGAGGGGCAGACCCATGGCAAGATGGATGGATGGTATCCTTGAAGTGACTGGCTTGACCTTGAAGGAGCTGGGGGTGGCAATGGCCGACAGGGAGCTCTAGCATGGACTGGTCCATGAGGTCACGAAGAGTTGGAAGCGATGGAATTAATAAATAACAAAACATAGGGACCACCAAACACAGCACCCAAACACGAATCAAGGAACATTAAAGACACTGCAGACTAATTTAAACTGAGAAGTCAACCATAGCAGAGCACCTGATGAATCAACGTGGACACAGCATATTATTTGAGAACACAGAAATGCTGGACCACTAACTACTACCATGTCAAACTACACAGAGAAGCCATTGAAACCCCCAAGAATGAGGACAATTTCAACAGAAAGGAGGAAACCATGAAAATGAACAAAATCTGGCTACCAGTATTAAAAAAAACAGTAAATAACAGAGCAACAGTACAGTAAATAAAGAGGAACAGGGGAATTCCTGACATGAAACAATCAGGACCAGCTAACACCTCCCCCCAGGGAGGGCTCAGGCAGGCTTTGAAGCTGCAAGGCCATTTAATGCTAATCAAGGTGGCTAATTGTAACATTCACACTTGTCTCAAGAGTTTGAGGACACAATGTATTCAAATTACAATATTCCACCTAAACATTAGGAAGAACCTGAAGGTAACAGCTGCTTGGCAGTGGAATATGCTTTCCTAGAGTGTGGTGGAGTCTCTTATTATGGAGGTTATTAAGAAGAAGCTGGATGGCCATCTGTCAGGAGTGCTTTGATTGTGGGTTCCTCCATGGCAAAATGGGGAAGGACTGAATGGCCCTGGGGTTCTCTTCCAACTCTAGGATTCTACCATTTACCTATGTTCTTTTCCGTCCGTTGTCTCTTCTGCTCTTGTCTGCTTTCCACCTCATCACCAGAGCTACCAGAGGGGTGACGGGATCGTTTGCGGCCTCTCGATTTGCCCAAAACAGGAACTTCCTGACCATCTGAGGCATCGTCAACCTGTAAAGTTTAGAATATATATATATATAGCTTTTCAGCTTCAACCACACTGCAACATGCTTTTCTTTTCTCCTGAAAATCCTCCTAATGGGCTCCCCAAGAGAAAAGCTGCCAAACCTTTAACTTTATTTATTTATTTACAACATTTATATCCCGCCCTTCTCATCCTGAAGGGGACTCAGAGCGGCTTACATGTTATATATACATACAATATACTATTAGCATAGTACAATATTAGTATTATATATTACTATATTGCACTATACCACTATACTGAAATATTATTAGTAATATTACATGTAATATAAAATATCTAATTATTATATTGCATTATTAGTATTATATTATATTGCAATATTATGATCAATATTATATGTACATACAATATATTATATTATTAGCATAGCACAATATTAGTATTGTATATTACTATATTGTACTATACCACTATACTGCAATATTATGAGTAATATTACATGTAATATATAATATACAATTATATAGTATTATTATTAGTTCTCAACCTGTGGCTCCCCAGGTGTTTTGGCCTACAACTCCCAGAAATCCCAGCCAGTTTACCAGCTGTTAGGATTTCTGGGAGCTGAAGGTCAAAACATCTGGGGACCCACAGGTTGAGAAACACTGATTTAGAACATTTATATCCTGTCCTATTCTTGACCTCCGAGGAGGCAACAATTTGATGCCAATACAATATAAAAACAGCAATGAAATACACAATTACATAAAATGATTATAAATACAGTGTACCCTCGCTTTTTGTGGTTCGCTTTACACAGAATCGCTGTTTTGTGTTTTTAAAATAAATATTCATATAAATTAATATAAAATATTTACAGTATATTCTGGCGTATAAGACTACTTTTTAACCCAAGAAAATCTTCTCAAAAGTCAGGGGTCGTCTTATACGCGGGTGTAGTCTTATGCATGGGAGTCGTCTTAACTCTATATTTTAACTGGAAAAGTTGGGGGTCGTCTTATACGCCCAGTTGTCTTATATGCCGGAATATACGGTACATACAATGGGCCTCGGAGACTTGCATGCAGGCTGAAACTCCCTCCGCCCTCCCTGGCCTCCTCAGATCCGGTAGTATGGCAGCCAGAGGCGCGGCGGGGAAGGCCTGCTCCTCTGGCCTCCGCAGACCTTGGATGTGCGGAGGCCAGAGGCGCGGCGGGGAAGGCCTGCCTCCCTAGCCTCCGCAGACTCCAGAAGTGCAGAGGCCAGAGGCACAGAAGGCACGAGTAAGGAAGCGCGGGTAAAAAAATCCACAAAGCAGGGATACTCTATTAATTTTAATATTTATACATTATACTAAAGTAATGTATAAATATTAAAATTAATATAGCATCTCTATTTCACGAATTTTCACTTATTGCGGGTGGTCCTGGAACGGAACACCTGCGATAAGTGAGGGAACACTGTATATATTAAAAACAATTTGCCAGGTTTAAAACATCCTCCAAATCAGTCCAAATTACAGTCCATAAAATCTCAACTTCACCAATAAAATCTCATATTGTTTTACATTATAATATTATTATATTGCATTACACTATAATATTATCACTATCATATGTATATACAATATATTATATTATTAGCACAGCACAATATTAGTATTATATACTAATAAACTTTGCACCTTCATCAGTTCCGCTTCCACCAGATCTTTGAGTTGCTCCTTCTCCTCCTTCGTCAGAGTTTTTTTTCCAGTGTGAAGAAGGAACTTCTTACGGATGATAGTGAGAGTGAGGGCACTGCAAGAGAATGTGACATAACAGTGAGGGAGGCAACACTTGCAAAATGCACATGTATAAAGGCATCAGAAACTAAAGGTGCATCTACACTGTGGAATTAATGCAGTTTGGCACCATTTAGGCCCCATCTACACTGCCATATAATGCCATTTGAGCTGCATTATAATGGTCAGTGTAGACTCATATGATACAGATTGAACTGCACTGAACTGTATTATATGAGTCTACACCAGGCATAGGCAAACTTCGGCTCCCCAGGCACTAAGAATGCATTATTATGCAGCCTAGAATCGCATTGGCCTTCTTAGCTGCAGCATCACACTATTGGCTCATGCTTTGCTTGTGGTCCACTTATTTATTTATAGTGTCAGGAGTGAACCAAACAGTTGTACAGCATTAAAAAACAAACAAAACACAAATGAAACTCAAAACCTGGCTATGGGACCAAGCATTTGAACAGTAGAGGCAGCAATTTAGAATGAGACCCAATTTGTGTGAATGACAATGAACTGACCTGGACTATAATTTCAAACCTGTGTGATTTAAACAATGTTTTAGTAGGTTTATGTTTCGATTGCTTTTATCATTTATTATTGTTGTTGGCATTGAATGAATTCTGAAGCCACCCTGAGAAGGATCGGATACAAATACGTGAAATAAATAAAAATAATAAATATATATTATTTAATATAAACCAATATTAGTAAATACAAAATAATATTCAATATAAATAATTTATATTTCTGGAGGAGAGGCTATAGTGTCATCAATGTTCATGGTGCTCTACAAAACAGCCCAAAACAGTAGTTCCTTGCCAAAGGCATAGAACTGAAAATATATGTATATTCATTGGGTTTATGAAGCATAAGAACACTCCTGAAAGCGAAAAACAGTTTTTTTTAAAAAAAAATCAGAGATAATAATAATAATAATTTATTATCCACCCCTCATGATGGCTCAAGGCAGGTTATCTATATAAATAAAAATGTAATGTTTGTTTGTGGGATTAACATAACTCAAAAACCTCTGGACGAATTGCCACCAAATTTAGCCACAAGACACCTACTAACCCAAGAAATAACCACCATTCAAAAAAATTGGTTTTGTCATTTGGGAGTTGTAGTTGCTGGGATTTATAGTTCACCTAAAATCAAAGAGCATTCTAAACTCCACCAATGATGGAATTGGGCCAAACTTGGCACACAGGACTCCCATGACCAACAGAAAACACTAGAAGGGTCTGGTGGACATTGACCTTGAGTTTGGGAGTTGTAGTTCACCTACATCCAGAGAGCACTGTGGACTCAAACAATGATGGATCTGGACCAAACTTGGCACAAATATTCCATATGCCGAAATAGAGTTTGGGGGAAATACACCTTGACATTTGGGAGTTGTAGTCATTGGGATTCACAGTTCACCTACAATCAAAGAGCATTCTGAACCCCACGAACGACAGAATCGGGGCAAACTTCCCACACAGAACCCCCACGACCATCAGAAAATACGTAAGGCCATCCAATCCAACTCCCTTCATCAGAGCAAGAAAACGTAATCAAAGTCCTCCTGACAAAGAGCCATCCAGCCATAGATAGATATGATTCACACACACACAGATATAGTATCATAGATTTGAAAGGAACCCTTAAAGAAGGACAATGATATGTTGCATGTTCCAGGGTGGGCAAACCAGACACTTTCCACATCAACACTGACAAAGAAACAGCAAGAAATACTGTTTACCCACAAGCATCAAGACATTACATATATTAGAAACCAACACTTTCTCATTACTTTATTTTCCAGATCAACAGACTGGGCCACAGCAACGCGTGGCAGAGGACAGCTAGTAGTAATATATAATCTTAATATTGTGCTATGATAATAACATAATATATTGTACTTATTTTTTACTTGGAAGCCGCTCTGAGTACTCTTCAGGGTGAGAAGGGCGGCATGTAAATGTCGCAAATATAAAAATAAATAAATATATTGTCGAAGGCTTTCATGGCTGGAATCACTCAGTTCTTGTGGGTTTTTCGGGCTATATGGCCATGTTCTAGAGGCATTTCTCCTGGCGTTTTGCTTGCATCTATGGCAAGCATCCTCAGAGGTAGTGAGGTCACTACCTCTGAGCATGCTTGCCATAGATGCAGGCAAAACGCCAGGAGAAATGCCTCCAAACCATTATAAGAACGATTGAGAACTAGGTAGGAAGATTGAGATACTATAGATTGAGTTATATAGATAAAGAAGCTAATTGAGATAGATAGATAGATAGAATAGCAATTAAGTAATTGAGCAATTGAGTTATAGATAGATATTGAGTAATTGGGTATTATTAAGCATTATTTCATCTCCAAAGCTAACCTTGAGCTATAGATAGGGAAAAAAACTGCTTTTTTCTAACTATAGCAGCTCAGGGTTAGGGTGAAAAGATCCCAGGATTTTCTTCTGTCATTTGGGGAAACGTTACCTCAGTAACTGAAGAAAAGGAAAGAAAGATCATCTCTATTGTTTCACCAATTGACTGTTTTGTTTGTAACTTTAACAAGCTGTGCCAAGTCTGCAAGGACTTTGAGAAATAAATATTCTGTTTTGATGTTCAAAGCCTGTAGTAGCCTCAGTTGCTGGGTTGTTGTAGGTTTTTTCGGGCTCTATGGCCATGGTCTAGAGGCATTCTCTCCTGACGTTTCGCCTGCATCTATGGCAAGCATCCTCAGAGGTAGTGACCTCACTACCTCTGAGGATGCTTGCCATAGATGCAGGCGAAACGTCAGGAGAGAATGCCTCTAGAACATGGCCATATAGCCCGAAAAAACCTACAAAACCCAATGGAGAAAACTGAGAAGGTTTTCAACCTGTGGGTCCCCAGATGTTTTGGCCTTCAACTCCCAGAAATCCTAACAGCTGGCAAACTGGCTGGGATTTCTGGGAGTTGTAGGCCAAAACAACCGGGGACCCACAGGTTGAGAATGACTGACTTGGAGCTTCTGTCCAACCATCTCAAAGCTCCCTACTTGAGAGGTCCACTAAGCCTCCCAGATCCCTGTCCCATAGAAGAGGGACATCTCCCCTCCTAATTTCAGGCATGCCTGATTCCTCATCTCTCCCACCTGAGGTCTGGCCTGCCTTGGAAGAGGCTCCGGACAAAATCCTGCATCCCCAGCGGGCCCTCGGTGCTGGCTGAGGCCATCCTTTCCCGCCTTCGAGACGAGGAAGCCCTCCTCCACGCAGGACCTGATGGGAAATGGAGTCCCGGCTTCAAAGACCAATAGGAGAGGCCTGTGGGGGAAGCCGACCAATGGGAAAGGTCTGTGGGGGAAGCCAGCCAATGGGAGCGCGCTCGGGGCGTATCTCTCCCCGCTTTGGAAATAAAAACACACCGAGAACCGGAAGTTTTGGTATTGCGTCACTTCCTGTTCCCGGCCAGTTGCATGTCGGGAGTCGTAGTCTTGCGCCTCCTCAACCGCCTCCTCCAATCTGAGGCCTAATGGGGAGTGTAGTCCGGGCTGAATGCTCTCCCCAGCAGGCATGAACGGGGCAGGGGAGCCGGAGCCCGGCGGAGGGGGATACAAGCGGCGCTACCGGGCCCTGAAGCGGAGGCTCAAGTTCCTGATCTACGTAAGAGGAAGGAGGGGAAGGACAGGAGGGAACGCAGGCTTCAGGAGGAGAGCTAGGCCCCATTTGAGCTGCCAGGGCTCCATGCTGTGGAGTCCTGGGAGTTGTGACATTCTACAGTCTAGACCAGGCGTGGGCCAGCTTGGGCCCTCCAGGTGTTTTGGACTTCAACTCCCACAATTCCTAACAGACGGTAGGCTGTTAGGAATTGTGGGAGTTGAAGTCCAAAACACCTGGAGGGCCCAAACTGGCCTATGCCTGCTCTGTAGCCTATTAAAATTGCAACTCCCCCTTTCATGATTACTTTTATTATTATCTCACTGTACTAATTATTAACGTTATGGACTTTAACTCCTGATTTGGGCCCTCCAGGTGTTTTGGACTTCAACTCCCACAATTTAGGAATTGTGGGAGTTGATGTCCAAAACACCTGGAGGGGCCAAGTTTGCCCATGCCTGCTCTGTAGCCTAGCAAAGCTACAATTCACCCTTTCATGATTACTTTTATAATTATTTCACTTTACAAATTATTAATGCTAATGCCATAAATTCCTAACTTGGGCTGTTAGAAATTGTGGGAGTTAAAGTCCAAAACACTTGGAGGGCTGAAGTTTCCCATGCCTGCTCTGTAGCCTAGCAAAACTACAACTCCCCCTTTTATGACTACTTTTATAATTTTCTCACTTTACTAATTATTAACATTAAGGCCTTTAATTCGATATATATGCGCAAGCGATGTTAGAGAAAAGACCATGGCCTGCACTTAAACACAATCAGCACTGACAAAATTACCATCTGTCAGCTGCAAAAGGCCACCCTACTGGGATCTACATGCATTATTCGTTGATACATCACACAGTCCTAGACACTTGGGAAGTGTCCGACATGTCATCCAATACAACAGCCAGCATAGCGATCTTGTTTGCTGAAAGTGAAAAACAGATATATATATTTAAAATAAGAGATAATAATAATAACAATTTATTATCCACCTCTCCTGATGGCTCGAGGCAGGTTATAAAACATAGGAACAGAAAATATATACAATAAATTACATTGATAAATACACCAAAATTTAAAAAAACTACAGATACAGAATTGACATATAATAGCAACAGAATGTAAATCAAAACCCATGAATGAAAATTGCCTGGATCGGCATGCCAGAAGAGATGGGTCTTCAATTGCGTTTTAAATTCCGACAGTTCATTTAGCTATGGGCTTTCTTCTGGCAGATCCTTCCACAAGGTCCTCTGGGTGACAGTCATCAGTCAGGTTCTGGCAGGCTAGAGTAGCTAGCCATCCCCAGAGGGGTGTTTGGGGCAGATTGTACAAGAGAAGACGATCTTGCATGTAACCAGAACCCAAATCATGTAGGGCTTTACTCTCCCCAGAAACTAATTGGAAGTCAGTGGAATGATTTTAATATGGGTGTAATATGCTCACTTTTGGATGTTTCTGTAACCAGACTGGTTGCCATGTTTTGTATTAATTGAAGTTGCCAAACTTGGTACAGAGGTAGCCCAATGTACAGTGCATTGCAGAAGTCCAACCATGAGGTTACCAGCACGTACTCCACCATCTTTAGGTCCTCAGATTCAGCTGAAGCTGATAATAAACACTCCTGACCATTACATCTACATGGGCTGATGTTTGGAGAGATGAATCCAAGCTGTGGACACAGACTTTCGGGTGGGGGGGGGGGGTGTAATCTCATCCAGAACTGGATGACACACCTCCATCCCCAGATTTATTTATTTATCATATCTGCATCAAGGGTATGGTTGTAATGTATTTTAAAAAAACACAAAGTTTTAAAAGAACTTGGCGTTATATTAAACGTCCTTCGATCAGTAGCTGGCCACTTGGAGTGCCTCTGGTGTTGCTATAAGAAATAGGATCCTTGATGGCAAGCACCTCTGTTTTGCCTGGATTCAGTTTCAGTTTGTTTTTCCTCATCAGACCCATTATGTCCTTCAGGCACTCATTCAGAGAAGGCGCAGTATCTTTTGCTAGAGCTGTCTTGAAAGGCATGAAGAAATATATTTCAGACATTTATAGCATGACTCTATGGTCAACTTCCCCTGGAGGATATTCTTGGGCCAGAAGTCCTTTGTTTCAATAGAGTTCGCAGTTATCCATGGTTTCGTGTAATTTAAAAAATCATAAACGATGACACATAACAACAACAACAAAAACTTTATTCTTATATCCCACCACCATCTCCTCGGAGGGGCTTACAGATAACACAAAGTGCCTAAAAACAAAACATAAGAATGAGTACAATATAAAATACAGTAAAATAAAACATATGCACATATAAAAACTCAGACTCAATCGGACTGCGGTCCTCTAACCATGGTGGTAAATTACTATAAACATGGCCAAGCTGTAAACATTAGGAATAAAATAAGTGCTAGATATTGTAATATTTATAAAATGCATCATTTTACAGTTAAATGAAACATCAGCATATGTTTTTAAATAAAAATTTTCTTCCACTGAGCACTTGGAGATGGATCTCGCTTTCCCCCTGTGGTATGGATAAAGTGACACAGACTGATTGTGCCACATCTAGGAGTCCTAATAGATCACAGGCTGAATGCGAGACCCCTTCTACACTGTCATATAAAATCCAGATTATCTGCTTTGAACTGGATTATATGACAGCGTAGACATATAATCCAGTTCAAAGCAGATAATCTGGATTATCTGCTTTGATAATCTGGATTATTTGGTAGTGTATAAGGGGTCTGAGTCATCAGTGTGATGTGGCAGCTAAAAAGCTAATGTGATTCTAGGCTGCATCAATAGAAATATTGTCTAATAACAATACTACTCTGTTCTTTTTTAGTCAGATATCACCTGGAATAACAGTCTGTGAAATAACTGATAATTTGTTGCCCTAATGACTCTCTAAAACTGCTCCCTAAGGCTGTTTCCTCATGCCAATGGCTAACCCCAAGACAAGAATCAACTGGAGAAGAGGTTAAAAGGCATGGCCCTTTTGACATAAGCAGTTTCCTGACTCATTTCGTGCTGTGCTCTATTCTTCTCAGGAACAAGAATGTTTTCAAGAAGAACTGAGGAAAGCTCAGCGAAAACTCTTGAAAGTTTCACGAGATAAAAGGTGAGCTAACAAGTTGGGGCAATGGATGGAAAGAATGTTAAAATGGGGATAGCTGTAGGCTTGGGAAGATATGGGGCTAGTATATGAAAATGAAGACAGGGTGCGGGTTCTCGTTTTGTTTCTGTTAGTCTCTTGGGTCCTTAACCCTTGCATGGTGGAGGAAATTCAACAGGCGAAGTTCTCCTCTGGCAGAAAAGGACATCTGCAAACTCGAGACTGAAATGTCACATTGAGAAGGGGGAAAGCTTGTTTTCTACTGCTCTAGAGACTAGGACACAAAGCAGTGGATTTGTGGGCCCTTCCACACAGCCCTATATCCCAGAATATCAAGGCAGAAAATCCCCCAATATCTGCTTTGAACGGGGTTATCTGGATCCACACTCCGATAATGTGAGATTTTCTGCCTTGATATTCTGGGATATAGGGCTGTGTGGAAGGGCCCCAAGTTGCGAGAAAAGAGATTCCACCTAAACATTAGGAACATTTCCTGATGGTAAGGTCTATTGTGGGATATGAGGCCTTGGAGCATGGTGCAGTCTCCTTCTCTGGAGGTTTTTAAGCAGACCTGGATGGCCATCTGTTGGGAGTGCTTTGATTGCATGTTTCTGCTTGGTAGGTGGCTGAACTGGATGGCCCTTGGGTCTCTTCCAGCTCTATGATTCTAAATACTTAAAGCTGAAACTCACTAACTGGTAGGAGCTGGAATGAGGGGAGTATTGGATTTGGAAGAAAGGTTTAATTTCTGTCAAATGCCACTTATAGTTCCTTAGTAGAATCTATTTTTTATAGCAGGACAGAGTAATAATATACAATAAGGAGGGATTTTAAAAAAGAGGCTCAGTGTGGGTATCTCATTCCTGAGTTAAATTAATGGCACAAGCCCAGAGCAAGCCTGAAGCCTTGATTGTTCCCTGTCAGGAAAAATACTGGTTCTAAGTTGATGTCACTTCCTCGCCTTCTGCCCATTTCCTCTTTCCAGTTTTCTACTTGATCGCCTTCTCCAGTATGAAAATGTGGATGAAGACTCATCAGGTAAATTCAAAGCTTACAAAACTTCCTTCCAATTGGGCGCTATATGGCAGTGAGGGTGGTCTCCATAGAATTAAAATATAGAAATCTGACAACATTGAATTGACAACGTGAAATGAAAATTTGCTAATAATGAAACAATAATGTATAGTCAAAGAAGAAGAAAACAAACAAACAAAAAGATAAGGACTGATTCCAGATACAGAACATAGTGCTTCTATATTTATCTTGCCTTTATGGCTTTGTATTGTAAGATTATTTTTAACTGAACATATGGCTTCATAGTATATTGTGACTTTTAAACTGCTGTGATGCACAGGCACCAGTAGTGTGAAATACACACTTTTATATAACTTAAATAAATTAATCCAGGTTCTCACAGAAGACATATTTATCCATAAACTTATGTATAACTTCAGTAAGTACTGAGTAATTAACATTTATTGTTTGCTTAGTAGAAGAGCAAGGAAATGAGTAATAGGTCAATAAAACATCTCAGCAACATAGTAAGCACATAAAACTAGGATCCTAGAAATATAGTTGCCCATAAAATTGATTGGGTAAGTCATACTGTGAAATTGATTGACATGATAACAGATATTTATGTGTGTGTGTGTGTGTGTGTGTATATATATATATAAAAGTTCATTGTTTAGTAGTTTGAGCTAGGACTCTGGGAGAGACTGATATGAATCTCTTCCGGAATCTTATGCAAGTCAAACTCTCAGCCTTGGAGGAATGGTTGAATATATGTTGCCAAGAAAACCCTAGCATAAATTGGAGTTGACTCGTAGGCACTTAACAACAAACCAAAATGAATCATTTTAGAGGTTTCAGCTTCAACGATGCTTGGATTGAAGCTAACAAGCAGCATCATTAGCATGGTATTTAAAGAGAGAGTGATAATATCCTCTAAATTAAGGTCATGAGGTGCCAAGGTTTTAAGTCTGTAAATGCAAATGTTCCTTCGGATTTGAAGAAATGTTGAGTCAGAGGTAGCATCGCTGTTTGAAATGTTGCCTTGTTTGGAAGGTTGTTCTCTTCATAATTAAAATGCCTTATGAGTTGTTCCATCTTTTTGTTGACGATTGCTATTTATGGCTCATGGAAAGATCAGCGGTAGTTTTTCTGACGTATTGTATCCGATGTACTGGCATTCAGTTCGACACACAACATTGCCTGGCTCTTGTTGCTGCCTGCGTTCACATGTCTCAGCTGCTTCTACAACCATGTTTTAATATGATTCAGTTAAGGGTGGGTGCTGCCCTTTTAAGATTTTTGTTGTATACAGATCTGAAAAACCAACACTTGTGATTCAGGGTTTTCAGATACTCTTTTGATTCCAGTTCAGACTAGGATTCACGTGAATATTCAGACACATGATTCTTATAAATACCTGCTACAGATTCCTTACTTAATTCATATATAGCAGGATATCCCTCCATCCTTCCCTCCTTCCTCATGATCTTATCTGTAGAAAGAATGTAATACATATTTAGGGAAGCTTTCCTCAAGCTTTCAGTGACGTTTTGAACTACCATCTCTCAAGATTTCACTATGTAACGCGATTTTTGTTCCTGGGTTAGAAATGTCTTTTCCTAATTAGTTCTATCATATAAACATGGAAAAAGTTGATTAAACTGCAAAAACTTTGTTTTTGCAGGACATCCTGCAGCACATTTTACTATAGTTTTTCAATGAATATCTCATAGTAAAGGTAAAGATTTCCCTTTGACATGAAGTCTAGTTGTGCCTGACTCTGGGGGGTGGTGCTCATCTCAATTTCTAAGCCGAAGAGCCGGCGTTGTCCATAGACACCTCCAAGGTCATATGGCTGGAATGACTGTACGGAGCGCCTTTTCTTTCCCGATAAAAGTGGTACTTATTGATCTACTCACATTTCATGTTTTCAGCTAGGTTGGCAGAAGCTGGGCCTAACAGTGGGAGCTCACCCCACTTCCAGATTCGAACCACCAACCTTCCGGTCAACAAGTTCAGCAGCTCAGCGGTTTAATCCACTATGCCACCAGGGGGCCCATATCTCCTAGAGACTCAACCAATTCAACATAGTTTGTGGCAGCCACAAAAATGAAGTTTCAGGAGTATAAAAACTACCTTCAAAATAAGTGCCACACAATTTAACAGGAAATAACATACAAACAAGGAAAAGAAAAAAAGTTGTTACATGGGCATGGTAGTCCAATGTATCTTAGAGGGGCAGGGGGACCATGTTGGGGAAAAATGTGACTTATAGGATGTGGACTACATGTGGCCCATGGATCCCACTTTTATGTCTTCTGAAATAATCAGTATGACTTTTGGACATTTTCCCCTAAACCAAAGTGTGAGCAATGCAAAACATAAAGCTGACTGGAAAACATGGAAGGACTCACACAGAAGAGTCAGTAGGATGTAGGAAGACTCATATTTCATATTTCAACAAGACAGCTGAGTTCAGATTCTACTCTGCCTTGAGGCCTTAAATCATTTCCACTCATGACCCCTTTCCGCCCAAGTAATTTTTACATGATCCTGGATATATACATATACCCAGGGCTTAACACAGTGGGTTAAACCGCTAAGCTGCAGAAAATCCTGCCAATGTTGGCAGTTCAAGCCCAGGTCAAGATGAGCGCTCATCGTCAGCCCCAGCTCCTGCGCACATGGCAGATCAAAAACAGAAATGTGAGTAGATAAATAAGTGCCGCTTTAAGTGGGGAGGTAATAAAGGTGCCCATAAGGACATGCCGGCGATTCGATTGGGAGGATTTCTATGGACAACAAAAGCTCCTTGACATGGAAGATGGAGTGACAACACCCCACCCCCCCATGGCCGGAGTTGAGCACAGCCTCCAGATGCCAGAAATGGAAAAAGATGTGAAAAGCCTTACCTCCGTATTGTCTGTCCTGTTAATTGTGTAATGGCATTGAATGTTTGCCCTATATGTGTTCTGTAATCTGCCCTGAGTCTCCTTGGGGAGATAGAGCGAAACAAGTATATTATTATTATTATTATTATTATTATTATTATTATTATTATTATATAAAATAGGCATAAAATCAAACATAAATCAGCACTTGCAGTGTTTATAGTGGACTCTACAGAAGATGCTTTAGCTGTACTTCACAAAAAGGAATATCAGCATGTTCAGCAAGCTTTTCAAATACTGATTTGTTATCAGTAAAAGTTTGATTTTTATACTATTTTAAGTCGCTATATACCTGTGCTCGTGTAAAGATTTCTTGGGCCAAAAGGGTTCCTGAATGGGAAAGTTTAAGAAGCCCTGCACTGGGCCATTGCCACATGCTGTGTCTGAGTCTAACCTGCATACGGGATATTTCCTTGGGAAAAATGCTTCTATTTTGCACATATGGTGCTGTCCTGCATTGACTAGTTCCTTTTTCTCCATTTCAGACTCGGAAGCAACAGCCTCCTCCGACAATAGTGATGGGGACATACCTAAGGGTGCCGAGCCACAGTCTTTAAAAAGGTGAGTGTCTCAGGCAGTGTGTTGTAGCAGCTTGAGTGTTGGACTATGATTCTGGAGACCATAGTTGTAATCTCCAATTAACCACTAAAACTCACTGGCTGACTCTGTCATATTATTAGCCTCAAAGGAGGAACAAATTTTAAAGGACAAATATCCACTGCTACAATGATAGCTAAAGGTAAAGGTTTTCCCCTGACATTAAGTCCAGTTGTATCCGACTCTGATGGTTGGTTCTAAGTCGAAGTGCCGGCATTGCCTATAGGCACCTCCAAGGTCATATGGCCAGCATGACTGCATGGAGTCACGTTACCTTCCTGCCGGAGCGGTAGCTATTGATCTTGTACTCACATTTGTATGTTTTCGAACTGTTAGGCTGGCAGAAGCTGGGGCTAACAGCGGGAGCTCACCCTGCTGCCCAGATTGGTCAGCAAGTTCAGCAGCTCAGCGGTTTAATTCACTGTGCCACCGGGGGCTCCATCTACTGCAAAAATAGAAAGATGTTAAATGTCATTAAACATATTACATACAGTGAATCCGTGTGGATTCCAAACAGGCTGTTACAATTCACAATCAGACTGTTACATTCACAGTGTGATACCTAGTTGTTACATACACAATAAATACATTTTCTTATTTCTTCCTGAAAGATAAATTCTTTCCCAATACACAGCTGGTTTCGACTCCAGCACTGAGTCTTTATTTGGTGGTTGGGTCTGTAAATGTTATGTAGCATTAATATAAATTTACAAAGTGTCTTCTAAATTCATAAAATTAACTAGTATTGTTCGTATTACTTAATCTTATCAGTTATCATGGAATCATAGAGTTGGAAGAGACCTCGCAGGCCATCCAGTCGAACCCCATTCTGCCAAGAAGCAGGAAAATCACATTCAAAGCACCCCTGACAGATAGTCATCCAGCCTCTGCTTAAAAGCCTCCAAAGAAGGAGCTTCCACCTCACTCCAGGGCAGAGAGTTCCACTGCTGAACAGCTCTCACAGCTCTCATGCTCTCAACAGCTCTCACAGCTCTCATGTTCAGGTGGAATGTCCTTTCCTGTAGTTTGAAGCCATTGTTCCATTGCGTCCTAGTCTCCAGGGCAGCAGAAAACAAGCTTGCTCCCTCCCCTATGACTTCCCCTCACATATGACTTCCCTCCCCTATGACTTCCCCTCACATGACTCATCATGTCTCCTCTCAGCCTTCTCTTCTGCAGGCTAAACATGCCCAGCTCTTTCCGCCACTCCTCATAGGGTTTGTTCATTTGAATCGCCCTCTTCTGGACACATTCCAGCTTGTCAACATCTCCCTTCAATTGTGGTGCCTAGAATTAGACACAGTATGATTCCAGGTGTTGTTTGACCAAGGCAGAATAGAGGGGTAGCATGACTTCCCTGGATCTAGACACTAGATTCCTATTTATGCAGGGCAAAATCTCATTGGCTTTTTTTTGCCACTGCTTGACGTTGTTGGCTCATGTTTAACTTGTTCCCCACGAGGACTCCAAGATCTTTTTCACACGTAGTTCTGTTGAGTCAGCCATCGCCCCCCATTCTATATCTTTGAATTTCTTTTTTTGTTGTTGTCTAAGTGGTGTATCCTGCATTTGTCCCTGTTGGACTTCATTTTGATTGTTTGGGCCAATCATCTCTCTAATTGGAGTCCCCAGTGGCGCAGTGGGTTAAACCCCTGTGCCAGCAGGACTGAAGACTGACAGGTCACAAGTTCGAATCCGGGGACAGGCGAATGAGCTCCCTCTATCAGCTCCAGCTCCTCATGCGGGGACATGAGAGAAGTCTCCCACAAGGATGATAAAAAAAAAATCAAATCATCCGGGCGTCCTCTAGGCAACGTCCTTGCAAACAGCCAGTTTTCTTATACCAGAAGCGACTTGCAGTTTCTCAAGTCACTCCTGACATGATTAAAAAAAAAATCTGTGAAGATTGTTTTGAATTAATTCAACAATGGAAGAATGTAGTTAGTTATCTGTAATATTTTTCATAGATAGTGTGGAACAAATCTTGCCAGGAAAGGCCCATGAGAGGGTTAGGGCTGCTGTAACTCAGAGGGGAAGGGAATGGAAATGGGTTCACAGGTGGAGTGATATCTCCTATCCTTTTTCCTTGGAGGTACATTGTCTGATGGCCTCCAACACTTTTCCCTTTCTATTCAGTAAGTGGTAACAGCAGCAAGAGCCCCTCCTGTGACTTGACAGCTAGACATCACCCCTGCTGCCACCATGTGTCTGAACTGAACTAATAGATCCCAGAGGCACTGTTGTATAATACAAAAGCAGTTGATTAAACAGAAGTTCAACATATAATTAAAGTTTACATATTTAAACATATCTTAAGGGACCAGACACCGGAATATTAGGTCTGCCATGTGCCTCTTGATTCAGTCATGCAGTTTGCTGGAGAGATCGGAAACAGTGGAGATAGATTTGGGGCCTTTCTGTTTTTGATCAAAGGAGTTACCCTCATATCAAGCACACATCAGCTGAGCTGCTGTGGTCAGGAGTCAAGAGACACTGTTTATGGATTCCTTTGAGTGAATGTTTCATTTTGGTGCAATAAGGTTACAATAGTTCTCACATGAAAAGTTGCAACCAAAGTTCAAATGGGAAACAATGAACAAAGTTATGTGAGCTTTAGTTGCAATCTGGAAAATACTGTTTTGTTCTTGAGTGATTACATTGTATAGATGGCAGGAGGCTGAAAACTGCTAGCATCTTGTGGATATGTTAATCCAAAGCTCAGTTTTATTCTTGGGAAAACTGACTGTGAAGGCAGGCTGCAGGAAGGATTACTGAACCAAGATGGATACAGTCTGGTTCATTTCATAAGATAGGATTGTACTATTGTCATTATGTTTGGTTTACTGCTTTTTTTGGTATTTTATTTATTGTAGTCATATGTTCTGTGTTTTACTGTGATATTGTTTATTTTATTGTAACTTGTATCTTATTTTATTGTAATTTGTTGTTTAGGCTTGGCCTCATGTAAGCTGCCCCGAGTCCCCGTTGGGGAGATGGTGGCAGGGTATAAATAATGATGATGATAATGATGATTATTATTATTCTAAATCCAAATTGAAATCCACTTTACTAACACTTTCCAAATCTTGTTATAATCTTAGCTGAACCTGTCCTGAGTCCAGCTAAGACCCCGTCTCACCCACTGACTAACTCTAAGTATGACAGGCCCATCTCTTTCACTCTACCCCCCCCCCCATTATATCCCATTCAAATTTCCAGTCAACCCAGTCATTTACAGAATTTCATATTTCCTCATTCCGAATAGATCACTTACCACATTTGTTGTACATCACTTCCATAACCATAGTAAAGGTAAAGGTTTCCCCTTGCACTAACTCTAGTTGTGTCCAACTCTGGGGATGGTGCTTATCTCTACTTTTAAGCCAAAGAGCCGGTGTTGTCTGTTGACGCCTCCAAGGTCATGTGGCTAGCATAACTGCATGGAGCGCCATTACCTTCCCACCGGAGTGGTACCTATTGATCTACTCACATTTTCATGTTTTCAAACTGCTAGGTTGGCAGAAACTGGGGCTATCAGCAGGAGCTCACCCCACTACCTGGATTCAAACTGTCGACCTTTCGGTCAGCAAGTTCAGCAACTAAGTGGTTTAATCCACTTTACCTCAATTTTCTAATATTTTTAACCCAAGTCCAGAAAATCACAGCTGCTACTGACTACATGCTAAACTGTCTGTTAATTTGAATTAATCCCAAAGCAGGACACAATTCTTTCTGTCTTTCCCGACCATGATGGTTAAGAGGCACAAAGGAACTTCCACTATTTCTTCTGATATGGCAAGCGTGCCTGGCATTTCAGACAGTGTTGCAGGTTAGCTCCTGCCTTTCTTCATTGACTGCTGTCTTAGACAAGTGGGAGTTGCAGTCCAGTGGGGATTGGAGGTCTAGATATTCCTCATCAACTGCTGGCTTGGCAGAACCATTTCATACATGTAGCACAGAGCAATTTGTCTTAGAAGTACAGAAGATTGCTTCTCATGCATTTATTGAAATAGATCCATCTGGTTTTGTTAGTACTTTGGGTCCACCAAGACAGGGGGACCCACTACCCATCGTGGTTGTCTTTGCTGGAGAAAATTTCATCTATAGTATTCCTCTTTCTGTCCACAGGAAGCGAAGTCCTCAGCTGGGTACTGCCTCTTCGCCATCTTCAGGGCTTTCCCTCCAGCCGACCTCAGGCTTTGGACTTCCAGCCTCAGGGACGCCTTCTCCCTACTTGACCTCAGTGAGTAACTTTGCCTCCTTAGTGCTGATAAATAGCGTTTGAACAAGTTACTTGTGGATGACTGCTCTTTCAATCCTTCAGTCAGCCTGATCACAGGATTTGCTGGATGGCACATTCTGGAAGTTTAATATGTGAAAGAGTAACTTTCCTAAGCTCTGTTAGTAGGCCGTTGTGAAATAGACAACCCAAATCAAACATTGTGTCTCATGTTGCCAGATTCTGTATTCTCAGAAAAGGCTTTGAATATCTCTCTTCCAGAGAGAAACGGATTTGCTAGTTTTTTGAGGTTATTTTGCTAACTAGAAATTAATTAATACATGGCAGTCAAGAGAGATGAGGAAAATATTGCCGGGAAATAATAATGTAAATAGTTGCTGCAATTCCACCTATCTGATAGATCTGTCATTGTAGAGCAGGCATGAGCAAACTTGGGCCCTCTTAAGCGGCTGAGGGGGGAAAGGAAGGGGCCAGAGGCTGTTAGGAATGGTGGGAGTTGGAGTCCAAAACACCTAGAGGGCCCAAGTGTGCCCATAACTGTTGTAGAGGGTATGGAAAAGCTACCTGTGTTTGGACTATACTCCCAAATTCCACTTGTCAGCTAGCCCAGTTGCCATGTAGCTGAAGAATTCTGGGAACTACAGTAAAAAGAAAAAAGACGAACATTTCCCCATCCCTGCTGTTATGGAGACATGGATTCCTGTTCCCTTATTCAAAACAGCTGTCCCATCCTCTTTCCCTTTAGCCTCCTTTCCATATCATCTCCATTTCTCCTCATTGTTTTCCATCACAGCATACATATGAAATAAAATTAATTACACAAACATAAACCAGATTTTAGAATATATAGCAAGATGCGACCAATTAACCTCTTTCAAATACACAGCATTTGAAGGGTGATGATAATATATAGGCATAAGTAATACAAAGCATAAAACTGAGTCTCTTATGTCTCTTGTTCAGAGATCAGAAGATATACTTATACCTGATATTAGCATTTCACTTTAAAGCATTAATTCTCAACCTTCCTAGTGCCGCGACTCCTTAATACAGTTCATGTTGTGGTGACTCCCAACCATAAAATAATTTTCATTTCTACTTCATAATGGTAATTTTGCTGCTGTTATGAATTGTCATGTAAATATCTGATATACAGGATGTATTTTCATTCACTGGACCACATTTGGCACAAATATACAATATGACCAAATTTGAATACTGGTGGGGTTGTGGGGTGGGGTTGAGTTTCTAATTATGGTAGTTGCTAGAATTTATAGTTCACCTACAATCAAAGACCATTCCAAACTCCACCAATGATGGAATTGAACCAAACTTAGCACACAGAACTCCCATGACCAAGAGAAAATACTGGAAGGGTTTGGAGGGCATTGACCTTGAGTTTTGGAGTTGTAGTTCACCTATATTCAGAGAGCACTGTGGACTCAATGAAGGATCTGGACCAAACTTGGCATGAATTTTCAATATATCTAATTGTGAACACTAGTGGAGTTTGGGGAAAATAGACCATGAGATTTTGGAATTGTAGTTTCTGGAATTTACAACTCACCCACAATCAAAGAGCATTCTGAACTCCACCAATGATGGAATTGAACCAATCTTGGCACACAGAACTCACATGACCAACAGAAAATACTGGAAAGGTTTGGTGGGCATTAGGCTTGTGTTTTGGAGTTGTACTTCACCTATATTCAGAAAGCACTGTGGACTCAATAATGGATCTGGACTAAACTTGGCACAAATACTCAATATGTCCAAAAGTGAACACTGATGGAGTTGGGGAAAATAGATCTTGACATTTGGGAGTTGTAGTTATTGGGATTTATAATTAACCTACAGTCAATGAGTACTCTGAACCCAGTCCACAATGGATCTGCACTAAACTTGGCACACTACCTACATAGCCAACATTGAATACTGGTGGGGTTGGAGGAGGGCTGTTTTTGAATTCTAGGAGTTGTAGATCACCAACATCAAAAAGGAAGAGAAGGACAGGCGGAGAGATCTTCAGCCTTCTCTGCCAAAAGGGTTCCTAAGACCATGAGAAATACATGTTGTCTGATGGTCTTTGGCAGCCCCTCCAAAACCCCCCACCTTGCAACCCCCCCAGGGGTCCTAATCCCCAGGTTGAGAGACACTGCTTTAAAGATGTTAGTGGGCTGCACTTCTCTATGTATTCTAAAATCCAATTTATGCTTGTGTGTTAATTTTATTTCATACGTATGTGCATTGCATACATTATAGTTTACAACCTCTGTATCTGCAAGGGATCTATTCCTGAACTTAATGTGGAAACAGGAAATTGTAGATAATGGCAAACTCTAGTGAAATGAATGGCTTCTGTTGGAAGTTACCATAAAATCATATTGGAGAACCTAAAATTTCCTAGAAGGGGTATCATCTTTAGAAATTTGCCAGTGTGGTTCCATGGTAAGTTTTGGCAGAACTCTATCATAGAAATATCTGGAAAACCTAGAAAAGTCCAACAGAGAACAGGTAGTAAAACCACCGATGGTGCTCCTGTGGCTACAGAAGTGGTTCTGTAGTTACATTGACTGCTCAGCTCAAAAGGGAGAACATTCTGGATGAGGACCGTTACCTTGAAAGCCTGAGCTTCTGTTGAAAAGCAGTCAAGCAAAGCAATTAGAGAGCTGGAGCATCTCAGCTGTCAAGAAACATAAAAATTTCAGACATTTTAATTTAGAGGAGAAAGAGACCACAGAATACACAATGGCAGTTTATTAAATTATGCATGGGATGGAGAAAATACAGGGAAATTGCGTATGTGTTTTCCCCCCCTTGGCTACTGCATAATAAAAGAACTTGGGGAGGTCACCTGATGAAATTGATCCCAGGAAGTAGAAAAGAAAGCGCTATTCCACAAAATGTGTAATTGGGTATGTGATTTGTTGCTGTATGTAATGGCTGTGAATTTAGATGGCTTTGAAGGAGGATTGGTCAGATTAACAGAGAAAAGATCTTCCAAATTCTATTAACTAAAGCTTGGTGAAATATTTTTTTAGATCTGCAATTCCCAGAAGCACATGTGGTTTTCTGATGGAGAAATTCCTTTACTTCTGGTTCAAAAAAAATAACTTTTCCAAACTCTACTGTCAGCTGTGTTGTCAAAGGCTTTCATGGCCAGAGACACTGGGTTGCTGTGAGTTTTCTGGACTGTATAGCCATGTTCCAGAAGCATTATCTCCTGATGTTTCACCCTCATCTATGGCAGGCATCCTCAGAGGTTTTGTGACATCGGTTGGAAACTAAAATCAGGACAGTATATAAAAAGCAACACTCAAAAACAGGGGAAATCCAGAAAATAATCAATCAGGGCTAGTTAACACCTCCCAACAAAGGATCCTCCAGCCAGCGGACAGCCAGGCTTTGAAGCTACAAGGTCATTAAATGCTAATCAAGGTGGCCAATTGCAATATTTACACTTTCCTCAAGCAGACAAGAGTTCTTTCTCCCACCCTAGACATTCATTTGCCTAGTTTCCAACAGATCTCACAAAACCTCTGAGGATGCCTGCCATAGATGTGGGCAAAATGTCAGGAGGGAATCACCACACAGCCCAGAAAACTCACAGCAACCTTTGCTGCCAGCTGTTATCAGTACGTGGAGGCCTCGGGTTCAGGAGCACTATACTGGTAAAGACCAGTTGTGAAGACAACATTGGGCAGGAGAACTCTTGCTTTCTTGTCCTTTTTATGGGCTTCCCAGAACCATCAAATTGGTCATTGTAGGAAAACAGGGCATTGGATTAAAACAGGAGTGGGAATCAAGTGTCCATTCATTGGATTAGATGCATCATAGTTATATCTACACTGTAAATTTAATGCACTTTGATGCTGCTTTAACTGCCATGGCTCAATGCTATGAAAACCAGGGAATTGTAATTTTACAAGGTGTTTAGCCTTCTCTGCCAGAAACTATTGGCGCCTCACTAAACTATAACTCCCTTGATTCCATAGCATTGAGTCAGGGCAGTTAAAGTGGTGTCAAGCTGTAGATGCACGCCATGAGTCAACAGGGATGTTCTTGGGACCTTATCAATCTCAGCAGCCTCAAGGGCATGTTAGAAGGCAACTGTCATCATGACCATGCTGGTTTGCAATTGTGGGTATTGTAATCTCACCCATCTGGAGGGTGCTACATTGGGGAATGGTGCGGGAGGTAACATTGGAGTGTGGAACCTGATTAAGGTGACAGAAGTACCAAATATATTTATATGTGTAGCAGTTTCTTCAGTTTTTGCAATTCTGCCTCCCCCCTTTTCTGGGGCTTGCATGCTCATCATTCATACTTTGATTCCTTCTTCCATCTTTTCCTTCCCACCATTCCTCTGCTCAAACCAGCTGGCCTCACCCCCTTATGCTCCCTTTCCCTCCGACTACTTGGCTCTAGGGCCTGAGCCTGGCCCTCCCCAACCTGATGCCAACGCCACCCGTTCCGCCCGGCGGCCCCCACGGCCCCGCAAGCTCAAGGTACCAGCAGGAGGATGTGTCTGTGTTTGTGTATCTGTATGTGTGTGGGAGAGAGATCTGTCTCCATTTCAGAAAATGGAGTTAAATTGAATATCTTGACATCTGGACTATATAGTACAGAATTCAGTTTGTGAGTGCAGTTCAGTGGTCATGCTTTGTTATAGTTTGATGGGAGAAGAAGAACATATAATTTGGAATGAAGATCAATAAATATGTGCTAAATTACGTAGCATTGATGGTAAGACTTGTTGTGCTCATTGATCTCGCTGCTCATCGATTTCATTGAACATGGAAGAATAGGACCATAGAGAACAGTAGTCCCCAGGTGTTTTGGCCTACAACTCCCAAAAATCCTAGCAGTTGGTAAACTGGCTGGGATCTCTGGGAGTTGTAGGCCAAAACATCTGGGGACCCACAGGTTGAGAACCACTGTCATAGAAACATCATGTGCCAAGCTGCAGCCAGTCAGACATATTGGACTGTGACTCCCATTATCCCCAATTTTTGGAGGTGATGGAGTTTATAGTCCAAAGCATCTGAAAGGTGTTTAGATGGGGAAGAATAGAATAGGTGCATCCTCAAACTTGCCTCTATACCTGTATATATACAAATAGCGCAGCAGGTTAACCCGCTGGTGGCGCAGCAGGTTAACCCGCTGAGCTGCTGAACTTGCTGACTGAAAAGTTGGCAGTTTGACTTTGGGGAGCGGGGTGGGCTCCTGCTGTTAGGCCCAGCTTCTGCCAACCTAGCAGCATGCAAATGTGAGTAGATCAATAGGCACCGCATCTGCAGGAAGGTAATGGTGCTCCATGCAGTCATAACAGCCACATGACCTTGGAGGTGTCTATGGACAGTGCCAGCTCTTCGACTTAGAAACTGAGATGAGCACCACCCTCCAGAGTCAGACTCAACTAGACTTAATGTTAGGGGAAATATTTACTTGTGCATGCTAGTATTCCATTTAGATAGATAGTTTTGGTTAAGAATGCATCTGTTTTATATTTTGGCATATTCAGTATGAGAAGGGTGGGATATAAATGCTGTAAATAAATAAATAAATACGTAAAGGCACCAGGTCCTGTCTGATCTTGGAAACTAAGTAGGGCCAGCCCTGGTTAGTACTTGGATAGGAGACCACCAATGAATAACAGGCTTTGTAGGTGATACTTCTGATAAAGGAATGGCAAAACCACCTTTTCATAGTAAATCTAAGCAACCTCTGTGAAATTCATGTGGTTGCCATAAATCATCCGGCAACTTGAAAGCACATGCACATGGGTGTGTATGTATTAGTTCCTTCTATACTGCTACTGGTGGGTTTTCTCCTTGGCCATTGTGGAAGCAGACTGTTGGACTAGACTGACATGGTCTGATCCGACATGGCTGTACTTGTACTCTTAAGGTTCTGCTTTCATTGATTTCTGTCTAGGGAACCCTGAAAGTGTTCCATGTTTGGGTTCCTTTCAGTGAGTATTCTACGGGGAATTCCTACTTTTTATTACTGAATCTGATGGTTCTTTTATTGTTTTGTGGGATTGAATAACTCCAAATACTGAGCTGTCATTTTTAACCCACAAAAGAAGATTTAGAGGTGTTTGAGAAGAAAAAATATATGTTATATACTCCTGGATGGGACTAATGCTATGCACGATGCTGTAGTGCCTCTTGTACAGTTTTGGATATCTCACTCATCCTGATTTCCTATCTGTTTGCACCCCTACCGAGATAAAAATTGGGTGTTTCGCTGCTGAAACTGTGGAAATTTTTAGATGAGAAATCAATAATTTTGATGGGTGAAAATATCTACAGCACTACTCTATAGGCAGAGAGACTATTCTTTGTTTGTACTACAGCTGGCATAATCCACCAGACAGCAAGATCACTTGCAATGAATATTTATTGTATGAGGAAGCAAACTTCACATTTGCAAGTTTGACTTCTGTGTATTTGATTAAAATGTTCTCTCTGAGAATCTGTAAGTCCCCTAGTCCAATGTTATATTCAAGTTCCAGCAGAAGTTGACCATAGAGTAGTGTTGGAGGACCTAGAAATTCTTAGAGGTGTCCTCTCAGATTAAAAAGCAATACTTTTAATCATGGTTTTCACTTTTATGGGGGTCCTGTGGCGCTAACCCTGACAAATGTGGAGGAATGTACAACTCTCAAGAAATGTTCTTTCACTTTGAGGAGATCTTAAGGAGACACCATATTTCACTACGAAATAGTCACATCTTTTGCTGGAAGAAAAGATATATACGTGATTGTTACACAAAGAAAAATATATCTTTTCTTTGCATATCAGTGTATTCCTGGAAGACGAACTGCATACATACTAGCTAGTTTGGGAAGAATGCAGGCTTCCCACATCAAATGCCTTACTGTACCCATGGCAGCTTCACAGAACCATAGAATTGGAAGAGACCACCTGGACCATCCAGTCCAACCCTCTTCCATGTAGGAAAAGCACAATCAAAGCACCCCTTGCAGATGGACATCCAGCCTCTGTTTAAAAGCCTGAGCCGAGCGCTTGCTCCCCTTGCAGCTATGGCTCTTCACTGGGCCAGGCTTTAGCACAGTTGGCAGTTCGAAGCTCAGGTTAGGGTGAGGACCCAACCTTCAGCCCAGCTTACTGTCCACCTAAGCAGTTCGAAAACAGTTGTGAGCTGTGAGTAGAGAAATTAGACACCGTTTAATAAGGTGGTATTTTACGACACTATAAAGGATGTACCAGAAAATGCCAATGATGAAAGGAAGGAGGAAGTCTGTGATCCTCTTAATCATAGAGGATGGACAACAGCACCCTCTGTGGCCGGAATTGAGCACAACCTTCAGGACGCCGAAGTTCAGAAAAATGCTGACATTATACCTCTATCTGCTGTCTGTTCTGCCTGTTTAACGGCATTGAATGTTTGCCCTTTTACATGTTCTGTGATCCACCCTGAGTCCCCTTCGGGGTGAGATGGGCAGAATATAAGTGCTGTAAATAAATTTATGAGTCTGAAAGCTGGTATTGTCACTGTCTTCAACACAGGATGCACAGGCAAACCTGTCATTGGTACAGAAAGCCATATAATGAGGAAAGTCTGGATTTTTCCCATGCCAGCTAGACTGTATATAGACAGTTTATCTGCAAGCCATACATTGGTATGGCTTGCAAGGTGTGATAAGTACATGAGGAAAGGAAAAGAAAACCCAATTTTGGGACCCAAAATTGGGAGGTGGTGCAACTATTATGCAATGTAATACCATACTTTGCTTCTCCACAAGTGGAGTGGGGGACTGTGATCAGGGGAGGTGTGGGGCCAAGAAAGGAAAGAATTTTGGGGCTCCGTGTCCCACCTATGTTTTTTTTTTGTCCTCTCTTCCCACCTGCAGCTCCCAATGCCTCCCGCCTCCCACTCGGACTGTTCGCCAGTTGTTGTGGGCTTACCCTTCCCTTCACCCCGAGGTACCCCCAAACTCCCACCGCCCACCATCCTCAGCACGGTGCCCCATCAGATGTTCAGCGACACAGGGGAGGGGAGTGGCGAAGACCCCCTCGATGGCGATGATGAATTGGTAATCGACATTCCCGAGTGATGGTGCAAAGCAGAGCACCTTGCTCAAAGGACCCAGGCTTCCCCGTAGTGTGTGAAGGGGATTGTGCCCCACCATTTTATTTTGTTTTGTTTACAGACTCCAAAAATCATGCAAGTCAATAAATGGGATCTCTTTGTTTTGTATATATGTATATATAAAAAATTCCGGTTGCAGTTTCTATATTCCCCACTTCCCCTTCCTCAAATCCCAATCCTATCTCTTCCCTCTACACTTAAACCCTGTAAGCCCTTAGAAAAGTTTGCCTCAGAGTGAGACAAGAGGTTTTTCCACTCTTTCCCATCTTTTACTAATGAAGAGAAATTCATCTGAGAAGAGTATATCCGTTCACAAGATGGGCTGAATTTCTCCACGTTTCTTCTTTTTCTAGCCAAAGAAGGGGGAAAAATCCTTTAAAAGGGAAGGAATTCTGAAAAAGTGCTTGAAATCTCCTGAGCCGGAAAAAAGGGAGCAAACCTCTTTAAGAAGCAGGAAAGAGTTTTTCACTGCTTGTGTAAACATTTGAAGACTTAAATGCTTCCAAAAATATCTGGTGGAGAAGATTATCCATCAGACTCTAGATGGAGATACTTTTTATATAAAATGGAAATATCCCCAGACTTTTAAGTTGTATGTATTTTACTAAACCGTTCCTAGTAGGCACCGAATCTTGCTACTTACGGCAGTATTTTTATTGTTAGTAGGAGTATTTTTGCTACAGATGTTTGTAAGTGGTGATGGGATACCTACCAAGAAACCATGTTGGCAGGGAACATACAGTTTTTAGAAACTGGGAAAAGCATGCTATGTTTTTATATTCAGGTGAGAGTAGATTTAAGAGAAATTAAAATCTATATGACAGCTTATAAGCATAGAAAGAAGATTCTGCCTCTCTCTAAAAATATATCTTATATATTAATGTGGTTTTTTTTTACTTTGGTACTGCATTTTGCTTAGTTAAATAGTGAGGAAAAATGGATGCCTCTCCGGAGATAGATGAAGGTGTTTCAGTACCAGAGGCAGAAAACTCAAATGGTGCCTGTTCGCCACATAGTGGTATAATAATAATAATAATAATAATAATAATAATAATAATAATAATAATAATAAGCTAAATGCATGATAGCTACTGCCTTGAATTTTACCACCAGCACCCTTCAAACTAGCTACTTCTAGGCCTGTAAACACAAGATGGATGACCATTGGCCGATCCTGCTTTCCTGACCGATGCCCAGAAATTGCACTATTTGTCAGGTTAATCTCCGAAATAAGGCATTGCTAAAGGCACAATTGCAAATCATTCCAATAAGGAAGGACAATGGGAGAAACGTACAAATGTCATTGTGAGACTGCATCCAAAGGATGAGAAACAAAAAGGAATGCGCACAATATTTTAAAGGTATGTTTAAAATGATTTTCCCAGGTTTGTGGGAACAATGTCAAGAAATCTGTAACTTAGAATGTGCTAAGGCTGTCTTTTAAGAGCAAGGAAAATAGATTTTTGAGTATGTTTGAAGGCCGAGAATACTAAAGAATACAATAGGCCTGCTACTCAGTATGGATGGTAAAGTGTTCAATCGGTTTTAAAAGCAATGCAGAACTGCTCAAAACATGTGTTACCTTCACCTTTCCCCCAAAAGGATTGCATGCAACCTTGGATTAATGGTATTAGTTCACAAGAAGTCAGGACTGTAGTTTGAGATTGGTAAAGAATCGCTTCAGAAATAGGCACCTTAAATGAGTTTAGCTCTCCAATGTCAGAGGAAAATCAATCTAGGAATTCTCCTGTTGTGCTTTCACAATTTATCTCTATATAAATGCATTCAATCCCCAGACAATGACTGGAGTACCACAGGTCTGGAGATAAGTTAAAAAACTGACTGTTCACAGACATTAGAAGCGGAAGATCTAGGACACTACAGGCTGCTCATAGTGACCACTCAGAAGAAAAATACAAAAAAGGTAGGAAGATGCTTACGACCCGACAATGGTACAGTGTTAAGTAGAATCAGGAGATTAAAGAAGATTTATTCTTGACAGGCTTAAATTCTTAAGACGATTGGGTTACGAGCTTCACAAATTGTGGGAATGATGGGGATGCAATTTATTTTGATTTCGGCCAAAACACCTGACAAAAGCCCCCCATAAAAGTTTGATCAGCCAAGTAGTTAAGTGAGGCCTAGAGGACGATATTTGCAGTTGTATTTGAAAACTATGTTAGCAAAGTTCCTCCCATTATTCCTTATTAAACTGGATGGGGATTTTGAGAGAGGAAATAAAAGTCCTGCAGTGAAGAAGCAAAAAAGCAGATTTACAGACTGAGGAATAGCTGGCTTGGCGGCAGTAGGTGTAAAAAGGATCTTGGGACTGTAGTCAGTCAAAGCCAAGGCAGCAGTGCAATACAGCTGCGATAAAACCTAATGTGATTTTGGCTGCTTTAATAGAACGATCATCCCAAGTTATAAGGTGTAATAGCTCCATTTCATTGTGTGCTAGCGCAACCTCATTCGGAGCCCTGTGCCTTCTTCTGACTGCCACAATTAAAAAAATAAGATTTTTTGTGTGTGTGTCAGGAGCAACGTGAGAAGTCGCTTCTACTCTGAGAGAATTGGCCATCTGCAAGGATGTTGCTCAGGGGACACCCTGATGTTTTGATGTTTTACCATCCTTGTGGGAAGCTTATCTCATGTCCCTGCATGGGGAGCTGGAGCTGACAGATGGAGCTCATCTTCATTTCCCAGAGTCGAGCCTCTGACCTGTCGGTTTTCAGTCATGCCGGCACAAGGGTTTAACCTATTGCACCACCAGGGGCTCCAAAGAAATAGATAAATTGGGATAGGCACAATGAAGGGCAAAAGATGTGGAAAAGTAAGTGCTATGAGGAAGAAGTGAAGTAATGGTTTCGCTCAGAAAAGACAAGACTAGGTGCAGGGAAGGTCATGACAGCATATTTCAAAAATCCAAAGGGCTTTCAGAAAGAAGAGGGCAAATACTTTGTACTCCAGAGGATGCAACTCGATCTAATGAGGTTAAGCTATGGGAGGATAGAGTTAAGTTGAGCATAACGAGAAGAACATTCTTGATGGAAAGAGCAGTTTAGCGACTGAGCCAATTATTGAAACTTGTAGCAGTTCTCTCCCATCGGTGGAGTTCTCCAAGCATAGATGAAGCAACCACCCATTCAGGATATTTTAGGTCTAGGTCCCTGAAGTAGAGAGTTTAGATTCAAATGGCCCATGAAAATGCTTCTATAGAACCTGCATTGAACTTTGAAGAAACAATGCAAATATGAAAAAAAATGGCACAAGGCCTTGGCGTAGGGGGGCAAAATCTGCTGATCTGCCTCATCAATTAGTTTGTGAAGCATTTGGTCTACATGACCCCTTCCCATTCTACAGTTCAATGAAATACTGAATTCCTCTATATCAAGAAGAAAGGTGAACTGGGCCTTGCATGTTTTTTTGTAAAATCTGGAAGTAGTCAGCGTTTCTGAAAGAGACGGAAGGAAAGCCAGAGGTGGCTCATTAAGGGCACAATATTTTTTCTCCTCACTCTGTATGCAGGAAGGGAGGCTGCGGAGGGTCTCTCTCTCTGTCCTTAAAAGTCAGTGGTTATGAGCAGCCGAGCTAATATGCCTCTTAACAAGCTGAGTTACGAGGAAGAAATGTGCCAGATGGAAGCCCCTTTAATCTACCCAGGAAGCCAAGAGAGTATGGACACTCTTTTTAATGGTTCAGAAGTGCAAATTGCATATGTCATTCCAGGTTACGAAGAGCAGGGGAAGATGTTGGTATGGAAACAAGGAGAAAAGAAGTTTTGGACCTTGGGAAGAAATTATGTTAGAGAACGTGGGCTTTAAAGTGCATTTCATTTCTTGCGTTTGCCTGTTTTAAAAACCCATGCTGTAGGTTTGTCTGCCAGAAGCTGTTTTGTTTTGTTTTTTTCTTAATTCAAAAGGTTGATATCAAAAGCTGTATTTTGTATCCACGGGCAATTTGGGAAAAAGAGATTTTCTGGGAGTTCAGGGAAAAATAGCTGGGTGTTGTAAACTTTCATTGATTTGGATTTTGACTTTTAAAAAGTGGCACAATCTTTCTTATTAGCATCCTCTTTTCCCTCCATTGTTCTCCCTATGTATAATCTCCCCCCTCAAACCTCATAATCCCTCATCGCCTTAGCACAGCAGACCCGAAGAGGGGACAGCCCTTCCCTAGAGCATAATATAAATGGACACCAACAACAAGTAATTTTGAAAACGTGCAAACGTCCTCGTGCAAAGGAGGGGCCCTTGGTGCTGTGCCTCTCCTCCTTGTTTTTTGTTTTTTTGGCAGGCAGGATGGGAAGAAGCAGTTCTTTAGGCGTCTCAAGGACCGAAAGCAGAGGATTCTGGGAGCTCGTTGGTGAGTGTGTGCCAATGCTCAAGGCGGCAGTCAGGGGTCTGAACGCATGAGAGCCAATGCTGTCGGCATTCTCCTGTGGCCCCTAGACCAAGGGTCACCCCACCTGCAATGGAAAGTTTAAAAGGTTTTTAGGTTTCCAGACATCTGCTCAGCTGCCCTCATTTTCTTGCAAGGGAGTCACATCTCCAAAGACATTCTCCCTGTGACATTGAACATATTTATAGCCTTATCCATTTTATAGTACAGCCAGCCCCACCCATTCATTGGGGTTAGTGTGAAGGACCCCAATGCAAACGAAAGACTATGTTTTGCCTGTTCCCCAGCCACCACTGCCTCTCCCATCCTTTCTCACCAATGAAATCATTGGATTTCCCAATGTCGTAATCCCAAACTGTTATCTCCAGAGATTTCTGGCCAAGATCTGACTGCTCAATCTCGTAGAAAAAGTCCTACAATGTAGCAAGGAGGAAAAAAAGAGAGATAAAATTAGAACCCAGGGATTTTGATTCTCTTGTTCAAGCATCTCTCCCTCCTCAAAGCTTAAATTCAGGCTTTGACTCCCAAAACATGCAATTATTTTACTCATTCGCCTTCCTTCACCTCATTATATTCTGGATTCAATGTCTTCTTTTTCACAGTTGTTTTATGCTTCGATTTCTTTTCTTCGTCTGGCTTCAGATATCTGTAAACAATACACAGCGGGATGATCCTATTTACTTAGGCCGGTGTGAACAGCTTGTAGCCCTATGGATGTTGTTAAAATACAATTCTCATCTCCCCAAGACAGCATACTAAAAGTAAAGGATAATGAGTAGAGGATAAATTACAAAATCTTGATTTAGACCAGTGCAGCACAACATGTGGCCTGGGAGCCCGATGTGGCCCGCAGAAGGAGTTGGGGTGCCCCACAGAGGGAGAGAGCAGCAAAAGCACAACACCGCTACCACTCTCAGCTCTCTGCACCTGGCACACTAGGCTTCCTCCCATCTTCCTATCCCCTTGCCATTGTGCCTCCATAAAAAGAGCAAGTGAAGGGGAAACTAACTGGAGGGTTTGGACTCTACACCTGTATCTAGTTTCTTACTTTCTTTCTGGAGAGGGGATGGGGGATTTATTTATTTATTTACCCTATTTATACCCTGCCTTTCTCTACCCCAAATGGGACTCAAGGTGGCTTACAACAGAGGCAATTATTCAATGCCTTAAAACACATACCATTCCAAAATATTAAAATTAAAAATTAAGTAAAAATTAATACATATTAGATATTTAAAACCCTATCACAAGGTTTTCTTGGCAGGATTGGTTCAGAAGGGTTTTGCGATTGCTGCCTTCTGAGGCTGAGATAGTATGACTAGCCCAACGTCAGCCAACGAGTTTCCATGCCCAAGTGGCGATCTAAACTCTGGCCTTCTAGAGTCCTAATCCAGCACTCAAACCATTTCACCACCCAACACTCAAAGCATAAAGACATTTAAAAGGGTGAATATTTTCTTCTCAATACTAGCAGGAAACACAAAGAGGAGCTAGGATAAAAATAACTCCTAAGTTACAAGATAGGATGTGGAAGCTATGGCCCACCAGATGTTGAGCTGCAGTTCCAAACATCCTTCACCATCTGTGATTGAGAAGATTGAAAACAAGCCAGCCATCTCCTCCAACATTAATTCCTTGTGTCTCGCTACTCTTAATGAGTAATGCTAGCCAAGGCTTAACACCCCCCTTCCCCTATTGTGTAAAATGCCCTCACGCTTTGACATAGGGGTCTGAGTAGCCACACACGTCCATGGCAGCTAAGTGGGCACAGCGGAGGATGGACACCAGGAGTCCGTGGCGCTCGGAGATGTATGTAAGGGCCAGGAGGATGCGGCCCCTTTCCTCCAGGGCCCAGCCAGTTGGAGGCTCTAGCTGTTTAGTAGACAAAAGGAAAGAGTGTTAAGAGTCTCTACATGAAATAAATATTATAATTTACAATTCCAACATATCAATTCAATCCCAAGACTTTCAAAGTAGTGTACACCAATTTTGAAATACCCACTGAGCTTTCAGAACAAATATTTGCAACATAACTGTTGAAACTCTGTTTGACAGCCCCAATGAAGCATTTTGAAGGCCCATCACTTAAGCTTGAGGTTTGATGAAGCAAGTAGACTCTTTTCATCTCTCCCTGGGGCCTTGTAGCTTGTCAGGCTTCAATGGAGCCTCTTTCACAGCTGGCATCCCACTAACCTATCATCTCACCCAAGACTGGGCAATCTGGACTACTTTGTGTGGTCCTCAGCCTAATTTAATGCTGAGGGAGAGAGAAAGATGAGATGGATAATCAAGTGGAGAAAGTAAAAATGGATGAAATTATTGGATGGCGAGGAGAACGTGACTCCTTTGCAAGTAGGGTTGCCAGAGTAAAAACTAGAGAAGGCTCCTGTATTTGTAATGGTGATGTACAAGGGCAGATTTCAGCAGGTGTGCCTTGTTACTCTGTTTGCTTGAGATCCTGCACCAGCCAAATTCCTCTTTCACAGCCATTACAAGGCAGGAGTCTTCTCCTGTTTTCAATCTAGTAACCTTATTTGCAAAAGATTCCCCGTTTCTCCAGGTAGTTCTCTTCCCCAGACGAGGACCCTTTTACGTCAGATAACTATAGTACAGTGGGTCCTTGGTATTCACTGGGATTTGGTTCCAAGAGCCACTATGGATATCAGAATCCATAGATGCTCGTGTCTCATTATATAAAGGTGCATACAGTGCCTCTTATACAAAAAGGCAAAATCAAGGTTTCCTTTTTTGGAAAAAAATCAATCTTTTTAAGGTATGGATGGTTGAATCCATGGATGCAGAATCCATAGATATGGAGAGCCAACTAAACCACTTTAACTGCCATGGCTCTGTCCTCTGGAATCTAGGGATTTGTTGTGTAGTGAGAGGCATTTAGTATACTCAGCCTAAGAGCTCTAGTACCTTATCAAACTACAATGGCATGTGATGGCAAAAAAAAAAAAAGCCAATGGGATTTTGGCCTACATAAATAGGAATCTAGTGTCTAGATCCAGGGAAGCCATGCTACCCCTCTATTTTGCCTTGGTCAGCCCACACCTGGAAGCACACTGTGTCCAATTCTGGGTATCGCAATTGAAGGGAGATGTTGACAGGCTGGAATGTGTCCAGAGGAGGGTGACTCAAATGATCAAGGGTCTGGAGAACAAGCCCTATGAGAAGCTGCTTAAAGAGCTGGACACGTGTAACCTGCAGAAGAGAAGGCTGAGCGGAGACATGATGGCCATGTATAAATATGTAAGGGGAAGTCCTAGGGAGGAGGGTGCAGGCTTGTTTTCTACAGGAAACTACAGGAAAGGAGATTCCACCTGAACATTAGGAAGAACTTTCTAACTGTGAGAGCTGTTCAGCAGTGGAACTCTGCCCTGGAGTGTGGTGGAGGCTCCTTTTAAACAGAGGCTGGATGGACACCTGTCAGGGGTGCTTTGAATGTTATTTTCCTGCTACTTGGCAGGGGGTTGGACTGGATGGCTCACAAGGTCTCTTCTCTTCCAACTCTATGATTCTATGAATTTCAAGGATCCCATAGGGTACAGCCATGACAGTTACAACTAAGAGGCATCCCAGTGCTAGAAGACTGTAGTGTAAAGGTGACAAGGGTGATAGAGAGAGAGGAGGGGTGCCCATAGTTCACTTGAATCTCAATGAAATGACTGTTGGCCAAAGCTGGTTTGCTCTTCTGGAGAAAGAGGTCCAAAAGATCCAGAGGACCCAAGTTTGGGTACCTCTGGTCTAACCATGTCTTGATTTCTATTTACTGAGAAATAGAAAAGAGAGGAAGGAGATGTCTCTCACCTCTCTCAGATAGCAGGAGATTCCACGCAGAGCAGCTGTCATGGAGGAAGGTGAAGCCAGCTGTGGAAGGAAGAGGCAATTCAGTAACATCTTGTTTCTCTGCATTTTTCAGTGAAAACACAAGGAAAGTTGAAGAATCCAGAGAATGTGTGAGCAACTGTATTGTACAAATGGGGTGAAAGGCAGGCAACAAGGGATGACCAAGTATAGCCATAGCACAATTTTTAAAAGGGAGTTTTTATTCATTTCCACCAAGAAAAATGGATGATATGCATGGTATCAACAAGTGTGATTCGAAGTGGAAGTCCATGAGTCATTAGTAGCTTGTTTTTGAAGAGCTTTCAGGAAATTTCCAGGTACAGTTTGCTACCAGTCCTTGGCAAGGGGAAATTGCAGATAGCTTCAGAAGCACTGATATAAACTGTGCTTATTGGTATGTACCAGTCTTTTATCTGGGTTATTGGAAATTGGTTCCCTGAACACCGTGATTCATGCATCGTTCACGCTTTCTATCAAAATGAAGTTGAGTAGCACAAAATAACAGTCAACAAAAAATAGGTAACAATTCCCCTTCCGCTCGTCCCTATTAGAGTTATGCCATGGAATGATCACAACCATTCTAACACCGGAAGAGGTAGAATTAGTTGTGCAAAGGCTGAAAATCTACACAATGAGGAAAGCTGATTTTGGCCCCCTCAGTCAGTGTAGACCCATATAATCCAGTTCAAAGCAGATAATCTGGAGTCAGAAACTGGATTATATGGCAATGTCGATCCAGCCTCATGTACCCTGGGGAGAAGTGGGGCTGCGAGGTGTTAAGAAGGAATGGAATCGAAGGCCAAGGTGATTGAACAGATGGATGGCTAGAACAGGGTTTCTCAACCTAAGATTCCACAATCATTTTGTAGAGGAAAAATAAAACAAATGTACTTTTAAAAAAACTGTAGACATAATAATTTGTATGCAGGCTTTGCTGAGACCGGAAAATGATTTCACGAGTTGTTTCAGGTCAAAAAGGTTGAGAAAGGCTGGGCTAGAGGTTGTGTGCGGATGTCTGATCCTTGCTAATTAATCAAAGAGATAGAGCTGACTCACTTTGGGGTATACAAACTCCTTACGCTCCACTCTCACCGGTTGTTGCCGCTCCAAGCACAGGTTGAAATGCCTCTTCTGGCCAGGCCGCAGGCGTCTCAGCGGCACCCGGGTCTCTCCAATGAACTCATTGTGGGTCAGTTTATCTTCATCGCAGACAGAGATTCTGGGAAGACAGAAAGACAAGAAAAGGGTGGGGGAGTATTTTTGTAACGGGGTGGCTATGGAAGTGAACAAGGCTAGGATTTTAAGCTAGTTGAGTGGGTCACATCTCACCGCAGAGTTTTCCGGGCCATATCCTCAGCAGTTATCCCATTGTATGTTAGGGACTCATTCCACACAGGGTTGAGAGTGTTGTGCTGGGTTCGTGTTTTCAGTTTGTTTGCCTAGAGAGAAAGAGTTTTCTAAGGTGAAGGAAAAACTAGGATTGAATTCACACAATATCCCAAGCTCCAGTACACAATGTCCTGCCCTGCGTTGACCCAATAATAATAACTTGCATGTTTTACACTGGGCTTGAAAGTCACTCAGTTCCCTACTCTGATACCACATCAGTACAAAGGATGTTTCAACCATGTTCCCTGACTAATATTATTTTACTTCACCCTATTTCCCACTTCCCTTCCCGGCATATATATGTATGTCCACATATTCATGGAAACAAATATCCCCTTTGGATATCCCGTCATTATTATTCCCCATCTGCACTCCCATTGGTTGATCTGTAAATTGCCTCCACGCCAGGCTTTCTTATCCCACAACTCCACAACCTTTTTATCCCATGCATTAAACATCTCCTTGTTCGATGCAATCAACATTTAAAATTCCCTATATTATTTTCTGTCAAAATTAACTGCATTTTTTTTAAAGCTAAAGAATGGGTTGTTGTTGTTCATTCGTTCAGTTGCTTCCAACTCTTCGTGACCTCATGGACCATCCGACACCAGAGCGCCCTGTCGGCCGTCCCCATCCCCAGCTCCTTCAGAGTCAAGCCAGTCACTTCAAGGATAACATCCATCTATCTTGCCCTTGGTTGACCCCTCTTCCTTTTTCCTTCCATTTTCCCCAGCATCATTGTCTTCTCTAAGCTTTCCCTTCTTCTCATGATGTGGCCAAAGTACTTCATCTTGGCCTCTCATATCCTTCCCTCCAATGAGCAGTCAGGCTTTATTTCCTGAAGTATGGACTGGTTGGATCTTCTGGCAGTCCAAGGCACTCTCAGAAATTTTTTTAGAATTTCAGAATTTTTTAAGAATGAGACTAGTTTGTAAACTTACTCAGTCCCAAGAAAAAAATACACACCAACCCTCTCCATATTTATTTATCGTATTGGAAGCAAATCGAGGGTACAGTTGTAGTGTGTGTGTGTGTGTGTGTGTGTGTGTGTGTATGTATGTATGTGTGTGTATGTATGTGTATATATGTGTATATATATATCTTGGCATTATACTAAATGTCCTTTTGACCAGTAGCTGGCCACTTGGAGTGCCTCTTGTGTTGCTGTAAGAAGGTCCTCTGTTGTGCATGTGACAGGGCTCAGGCTGCATTGTAATAAGTGGTCTGTGGTTTGCTCTTCTCCACATTCGCATGTCGTGGACTCTACTTTGTGGCCTCATTTCATAAGGTTGGCTCTGCATCTCATGGTGCCAGAGCACAGTCTGATCAGCACCTTCCAAGTTGCCCAGTCTTCTGTGTGCCTGAGGGGAGTCTCTCATCCAGTATCAGCTATGGCTTGAGGTTCCGGATTTTCACCTGCCAGTTTTGGACTCTAGCTTACTGTGGTGTTCCTACGAGTATCTCTGTAGATTTTAGAAAACTTGATTTAAGGCATTGGCGTGCTGGCTGATAACCGAACAGGGGACGGGCCTTAGTCCTTTCATTATTGGCTGCTACTTTTGGGTTGATGTCAGGTGGTGCAGTACCAGCTAAATAGTATAATTTCTCCAGTGGTGTAGGGCGTAGACATCCTGTGATAATGTGGCATGTTCCATTAAGAGCCACATCTACTGTTTTAGCATGGTGAGATGTGCTAAACACTGGGCATGCATACTCAGCAGCAGAGTAGCAAAGTATCTTTACTGTATTTGGTTGTGATCCCCAGGTTGTGCCAGCTTTCATATGATATTGTTTATAGCACCCACTTTTTGCTTGATATTCAAGCAGTGTATCTTGTAGGCCAGAGCACGGTCCAGGGTAACTGCCAGGTATTTGTGTGTGCTGCAATGCTCCAGTGGGATTCCTTCCCCATGTTTGTTTGTATCTATTTCCTGTTGGGTCCAAAGGAAGTTTTTTTCTCTCCAAAATGGCTGTGGTATCTGACCCTTTCACTTGGGAGTAAGTTCCATTGAACTCAATTAGATATGCTTCTGTGTAGGAACATGTTACATCCCTCTGGCCCTTAGCTGGGTATAAGTGCCTTTGACAATGAACTTCCCTTCCCCCCATGTAATGAGTTTAGAATTGCGGCCAGGTCTAAGATGTCTTTACTAGAATCTGGGATTAAATTCTCATTCAGTTTAATAAAATGTAACGCCGGTAGCAGAAAATCTCAGACCTTCCGATATTCAAATATGTGGTTACCCACATACATACACTGATCTAAGATGTCTTTACTAGAACCTGAGATTAAATTCCCATTGAATCTAATAAAATGAATCATGCACTCCAGCGAGCAAAGAATCGCAGACCTTATCTTCCAATATATATATACTGATCAAAGCTGTCGTTACTAGGAACCAGAATTCAATTCCCATTGAGTTTAATAAAATGTAAACTGTGTGCCCATCCCTAGAGAGCACAAACCTTCATATATTCCATTAGCTCCCAATTCCATCTCCATCAAAGGATTCCTAACATAAGATGCGAATATGATGCTAGAAAAGGTGACTATCACATCTTGTGTTAAGTATTCTGTGATTGAAATATGAAACTAAAAAAATATGAAAACAGAAGGTGGCAAACTTGTGCCTTGAAAATATTTTGAACTACAGCTCCATAGATCTCAGTTAGGATGGTGAATCCTCAGGGTTTAGAGGATAAAAAGAAATTAATATTGGGTTGCCTGTCATGTAAGCTATACTTCATCAACCCAAGGTGCTTCTATGGCAGTGGTCCCCGGTCAAGGAATCACTTGACCTGTAACCACTCTCCAACATTAGTATCAAAAGAGTTATGATCAGTTTTAGGTCAACTTTAGATTCGGTTTGGTTATTTGGGGTGCTCATTCAGAAAATTGTATTGGATAGACCACATCAGCTCTAGTTTCTGATACAAAACATATGCCATCCAGTAGTCACCATCTGCTCGCCCACAGAAAACCATATTTAATAATCTAGAGCTGGTGTGGTCTATCCAATGCAATTTTCTGAATCAGCAGTCCAAATAACCTCAGAAGCAGGTCTGAAAAAAACAAGGCACCAAGAATGATTCACAAAATTGCACTGGATAGACCACATCAGCTCTAGATTATGTGGCAACTACTAGATTTATCAGAAACTAGAGCTGATGTGGTCCATCCAATGCAGTTTTCTGAACCAGCACTCAAAATAATCCCAGGAACAGGCCAAAAAATGAAGACACCAAGGCACCCCTGCTTCCAGGTGCCACATGGAATGGCTTCGCTCAGTGGGAAAGAGGAGGAGGACAGGCAACAGCAGCCAGAAGGCTTGTTGTCAGGCCTTTCATGGCTTGTCAACCTCTCTCCTCTCAACATCCCTGTTGCCTCGGCACTAAAAGAGGGTTTCGCGAGACCAGTTGCTCTCATTGCAACGGTGTAATAATGGTGAGAGTGCGGACCATATTTTAGTTCTTGTAGATCACTGGTGGTCCACGGACCACAGTTTGGGAACCACTGATCTATGGGAACATCTTAGGTTGGTGTAGATGTTGATCAGCCACCTGAAGGCCTTTAGCCATCTCTGCCAAGGAATGCCAGTGTCTCACCAAACCACAACTTCCATGATTCTATAGTACTGAGCCATGGCAGTTCAAGTGATGTCAAACCGCATTAATTCTACAGTGTGGGTGCAGCCACAGTGTCCTCCACATAGGTGAAATGTGGATAGTATTTACTTCTTTTCCCCTTATGCTGTTTTACTAGTCTGAATCACACGTGCCGTAGTGCTACTATTAGACCTCCTGAGGAAAGAGCAGAGTGGATATTATCCCTGTATTTTTTCCCCCAGCGGGACTAATAGCAGCGTCAAGGTGTGCGCGAGGATTCAGATTGGAAAAATTGCTTGGGGGAAGAATTGAAACACCTGCTCCCTTAGCGCCTTGGATAAAAATCAAAGCCTCCTCCTTTGAGCAAATTTCTACAGAAATATGAGCAATCCAATCCCAGTTTGTTTGTTTGTTTGTAATTGGCACTGAGTAATTTGACCTACACAGCCAGTCTCTTGTAATTATACTTTAAGCTTAAACAACCCCAAGAAATGACAATGACCCACACTTTTGGAAATACAGAATCATTACTCGTTAAATGCCACTTTCATTAGCAGCAAGAGACCTGCAGAGCTGTTTGTGCCTCATTTTGGCACAACATGGGAAGCATCAAGGGATGAAGAAGGGGGGCACCCTGCAAACACACAGACCTAAGCAGCTCCCCAATCTTGTCTTAGCTGCTGGACCCAGCTCACTCTCTTCTTGAGTGCTTTTCTTTAACATGAATGTATATTACACAATGCTAAGTGTGTTTGTTCAAAAGTACACTCCATCCAAATCAATACTAATTGCTTCGGAGAAAATATTTCTGGGACAGGACCACTGATGCAAAATATGCCCTCATTTCTCCTTCAGAACTCTTAACATTTGTCAGAAGTACATTCAAGCCCTTTTTTTGAACCTTCTCTGAAACTGTTTTCTCGGTTCTGACGTTGACTCTGCCTCCTCTCATATGTTCGAGAAATGAGGCTCCGTTGCCACTGATCTCTAGAGATGTGGACTGGAATTGATTTCTCTTATTTAGTTGCATGCTTTGGGTTTCTGCGGAGGCCACGGTGAGCCTCCCTGAATGTCTTTATTAGATTGTGCCGAGTCTGGATAAGCAGAAGTGAAAAGGCAAACCCGAAGATATGGTTACCTTGCAGGCTCCAGGGAGGAGATGCAGTTTGACATAGGGGTCGGCCAGACCATTAAAATCCATTGGCTTCAGCCCCTGGGAAGAGAAAGACAGAGATCAATTCTCCTTTAATCTAAACATGTAAGCATTTCGAGGAAATATTCTATATGTATCCAAACTTGTCCACCTTTTTTTTGTGTCGGCGCCTGGATAAACTGTATCTCTTTCGTGACATAAGATAAAATAAACTACGTTTAGTTCACATTTGATCAGCCCACACACTGCCTTGACAGAGAAAGAAAATATGCCACTCAGAACAAGTAGTTTACTCTTCGTAGTTCAGAACAACATATGTACAATGTGATCAGTTGAATCAACTCACATAATGTCCTTTTATGAGAGATTTAAAATGGGCTTTCTTTGTCCATGTGGATAAACTCCTTAAGCAGCTCATGAAGCGAGAGCACACTTCAAAATCTCTCTCTCTGCCTCTCTCCTCTTCTCTCTCTGCACCTGCATAGCTCAAACCTGAACAGAAATGTAACAGTATCCAAAAGTCCGAGGCTCAGTTAACTCCCCAGATATTGCCCGACCAATCAGCTTCATGCATCTTATTTTACAGTTGCCACACACACACTCACTGATTTCTTGCATGCTCCAACACCTTTGAATATTGGATTGCAGTTCCCAGCATTCCTTAACATTGGCTATAATAAATAGGGCTGAAGGGAATGTCTGACCAGGAGCAACTTGCAGTCTGTATTTTGCCTACAGGTGCTTTAGATGGTGACTGTGGCATACCTTACAAAATTCATGTTTTGAAGGAGATATTGGGATTTGGGTGTAAATTTCATATTTGAATAACTACAAATCATCATAGCTTATACCAGACATGAGCAAACTTGGGCCATCCAGGTGTTTTGAACTTCAACTCCCACAATTCCTAACAGCTTCAGGCCTGGGGCTGTTAAGAATTGTGGGAGTTGAAGTCCAAAACACCTAGGGGGCCACAGTTTTCCCATGCCTGGTGTAGATGCACCCCAAATCTTCAATCCTTGAGAATAACAGCAGCTGAAGGGGAAAAGGAAGGGGCCTGGGGCTGTTGGGAATTATGGGAGTTGAAGTTTGCATGGGCAAACCTGGGGGGCCACAGTTTGCCCATGCCTGGTGTACACTTATACTTGCACTGATGATACATCCATAGTTATTGAACAGCATATAAAAGCACATTTCTTTAAGGTAATGTGACTTTAGATTGCAGGTTGAACATCTAAGGATGTAACTATCTACACCATTCCTCAATGCTAGGTGATCCTGAGAGTTATAGTTTGGCATTCAGTAAAGAAGGTGAAAGACTTTTTAGAACTACAAACATCGTGATTCTACAGCATTAAGCTAAGGCAATCAAAGTGTTGTCAAAGTGCATGTATTCTACAGTACGGATGTGCCCTAAGACCACAACTCTGCATCTGTCATACTGATATAGGAGTCAAACAAATCTGCCCACAATATTCTGCACCTATAGAAGTTTCCAAGCTCTCTTCAAAGCAACCTGACATCTGGGAAGCATAATCCAGAATTGAGAATGAGATTACGACGGTATAGGGCGCCCTGGGGATTCATTTTGCGAAATACGTGACGAATATGTACGTAAGACAGCATTTGGACAGACGCAGAACTCTTTGTTGATGGGTATCTGGCCCTGTGCCACTTGTGGCTCAAACCTATTATTTTGATTCTTGGAACTGCCTGTGCTACTCTGTTTAATGCTGCTCAGAACCCTTGCTGGAACATCCAGCTAAATTGGCTTAATTGAAGAACTGCCAATGGCGATTCCAGTCATTTTCTTTAAAAAAAAGAATAAGAGAGAGAAAAAACACTTATGTAAACACACCAGAAAATAGATTTCCACAACCTGGTGCCCTCCAGAATTGTCAGGACCACAATTGCCAGCTGGCTGGGGATTCGGGGAGTTATAACCAATGCATCTGGAGGTCACCAGGTTGGAAAAAGCTGCCTCCAAGTGCCCATGAATAAGCCTCATGGTTGGAAATTAATCATGTTTAGGATTAAAAACACAGAATTGAAGGAGATCCTGAGGGCTATCCAGTCCATGCCCCTTCTGCCATGCAGAAAACACAATCAAAACACACAAAGAATCTATCAGGACCAGCTAACACCTCTCAACAAAAGATCCCCCCATGCAGCAACCAGCTAGGTTTTGAAACTGCAAGGCCATTAAATGCTAATCAAGGTGGCCAATTGCAACATTCACACTTGCCTCAAGCAGACGAGTTTTTCTCCCACCCTGGATATTCCACAGATATATAAACCTCACTTTTATGGTTTCCAACAGACCTCACAACCTCTGAGGATTTCTGCCATAGATGTGGGTGAAACGTCAGGAGAGAATGCTCCTGGAACATGGCTATACAGCCCAGAAAACTCACAGCAACCCAATCAAAGCACTCCCAACAGATGGCCATCCAGCCTCTGTTTAAAAACCTCCAGAGGAGGGAACCATCACACCCCCAGGCAGCATATTCCATGGCTGAACAGCTGAACTCTCAGGAAGTTCTTCCTAATGTTTAGGTGGAATCTCTTCTCTTGCAATTTGAACCTATTGCTCTGTGTCTTAGTCTCCAGAACAGCAGAAAATAAGCTCCCCCACCTCCTCAATATGATATCCTTTCCAATATTTTAGCATGGCTATCATGTCCCCTCTCAATTTTCTCTTCTCCAAGCTAAACAAATCCAGCTCCCTAAAAGCTTCCTGACTTTTGATCGTTTTGGATTCTCAATTTTTTTTTTTTTGGAATTGTGGTGCTCAAAACTCAACACGGTATTCCAGGTGAGGTCTGACCGTCCAGAATAGAGTGGGACTATTACTTCCCTTGGTCTAGACCAGCATTTCTAAACCTGGGGGTCGGGACCTCTGGGGGGGGGGGCATGAGGGGGGGGGGGTTAGAAGAGAAGTTTGGGGCTTTTTTTTTTTTTCTTCCCTTGGTCTAGACCAGCATTTCGGGGTCGGGACCCTTGGGGGGTCATGAGGAGGTTTCAGAGGGGTCACCGAAGACCATCAGAAAAATATATTTCAGATGGTCTTAGGAACCGCTTTGGCAGAGAAGGCTGAAGATTTCTCAGCTTGTCTTTCTCTTCGGACTGCGAATCCTCCTACCAAAAGTCCTCCGCTGTGATTGGCCAGCCTCTCAGCTGGCTTCTCAGCCAAGGGTTTCTGAGACTCCAATTGTAAGGCGTGCTTGGAGGATGGCAGCGTGGTGTGCATGTGCACGTGAGGGAGAGCGTGTGAGGTTGGAAGGAGGCTCGCACCAGCAAGTCCCTTCAAGGCATGGGGGGTTCTGTGTGTGAAGTTAGGCCCAATTCTATCGTTGGTGGGTTCGGAAGCCCTTTGATTGTAGGTGAACTATAAATCCCAGCCACTACAATTCCCAAATGTTAAGGTCTATTTTCCCCAAATACCACCAGTGTTCACATTTGGGCATATGGAGTATCGGTGCCAAGTTTAGACCAGATCCATCATTGTTTGAGTCCACAGTGCTTTCTGGATGTTGGTGAACTACAACTCCAAAACTCAAAGTCAATACCCACCAAACCCTTCCAGTATTTTCTGTTGGTCATGGGAGTTCTGTGTGTCAAGTTTGGACCAATTCTGTCATTGGTGGGGTTCAGAATGCTCTTTGATTGTAGGTGAACTATAAATCCAAGCAACCACAACTCCCAAATGACAAAATCAATTTTTGAGTGAAGGACATACATTGGGTTGTTAGGTGTCTTGTGTCTAAATTTGGTGTCAATTCATCCAGTGGTTTTTGAGTTCTGTTAATCCCACAAACGATCCAAGCAACTACAACTCCCAAATGACAAAATAACACACCCCCCCAACCCCACTGGTATTAAAATTTGGGCATATCAGATATTTGTGCCAAATTTGGTCTAGTGAATGAAAATACATCCCGCATATCAGATATTTACATTACAATTCATATCAGTGGTAAAATTACAGCAACGAAATAATGTTATGGTTGGGGTTCATCACAACATGAGGAACTGGATTAAGCTGTCACGGCATTAAGAAGGTTCAGAACCATTGCTCTAGACACGATACACCAGTTGATGCAGCCTTGTGGTATGCTGCATAGGAGGGGAGAAGCGTGGAAGTGACCAATCCTGGTACCTGCAGCATTGTCTGATGCTGGTCCAGGTAGGTCCCCATCCAGACTTTCCCCTGAACTGCCGCATTGTTTCTCTCCATCCCTCCCTGCCCACCCTCCTCTGTTGCCATGGCAACCCCAGATGCCTGCGGATACCCGGTTGCCTGGCGCGTCGCCGAGGTGCTTGAAGATGCTGCAAGCCGACCAGCTGGGAAAGGAAGGGGTGGGGGTTGAGTTCGTTGGCATTTGGGGGTAACCAAGTAGAGACCCTAGAAGGATGGGGTCTTGAATTGCATAGGACAAAGTTTTCAAATGAGCCAGGTTACCTTTTGTACATTTGAAAGGATGGGAGAAAAAAAACCAGTTTGAATGTGATGGAGATGGGGGGGGGACGACAGAAACAGATTGAGACGGAGCAGTATTGCTTCCATAATGAGATTTCCCATCCCTGTGCGGCCTTGCTTATTAAATCATGTCCCTTTATTGTGAAAACGACACATCCAATGCAGAAAGGCTGCGGGTTCTGTCTCCCAAGGTGTGGATGCTGCTGTCAGTACCCCAACTGTTTTGGGGTACTAAGAGGGTGTAGTTACCTTGGCCCGGAGAATGGTGCAGTCGAGGGTGCAGCTATCGGGATCGTAGAGAAGGTCAAAATCGAGAGTCCCAAGGGATGCTTAGAAAAAGAGGGGGGAAAAGGTAAAGTAAAGGCCAGGTGTTGCAGGGAATGTTGAAAAGGACCCAATCAATCCGAGTTATCATTTTCTTCCCTGCTCGCCTTTGAGTCACGCTTGCAATCTGTCTGCATGTTTCGTCCCATCTATCTTCCGAGATTACCTGTCTGCCCCCTCCATCCATCACAAACAACGCTACATGGGTCCGTGTTGGTATTTTCTACCTGAGGAATGTACGCAGGGCTCTGACATTAAGCAGCGCCGCATCCCTCTTTTCCAGCTAACCTGATAAAGGTACCAATAAAACCGGATGCTGTGACTTGCATAAGTCATGCCCACGATGGAGATATGCCTAAGTGTATGCATCATTTATGTTGTTTCTGCTCTCTGTAGTAAGCTCCTTAGAGTGCAGTCTTATATATATATAGTCACCACAGAATTGTCCTATACTTTTTGTTAGACGTCTACATACACTCAAAACACGACACATCCAAGAAAAACATACACATACCCCATATATTGAACATAACAACAACAACGTGTTGTCGAAGGCTTTCATGGCTGGAATCACTGGGTTGTTGTGAGTTTTCTGGACTGTATGGCCATATTCCAGAAGCATTCTCTCCTGACGTTTTACCCACATCTATGGCAGGCATCCTCAGAGTTTGTGAGGTCTGTTGGAAACTAGGCAAGTGAGGTTTATATAGGAATACCCAGGGTGGGCAAAAGAACTCTTGCCTGCTTGAGGCAAGTGTGAATGTTGTAATTGGCCACCTTGATTAGCATTTAATGGCCTTGCAGTTACTGCCTGGGGCAGGTATGTAGCCGGGGGGGGGGGGGGGCTCGGGGGGCTTCAGCCCCCCCCGAAATTTTCATGGTGGTTCGCGAAAAGGCCTTATTGGTGCATTATTTAAACTGTTATGTTTATTCATATCATGAACTGATCACCATACTCAATATATCCCATATGCATGGGGGTATTGGGGTAATGATACAAAAGGTTTGCTAGGCTAGACCCTCTTTCACTCAGACTCAGCCCCCCCCCGAAACTCAGCCCCCCCAAACCCCCTGAAAAAAACTCAGCCCCCCCGAAACGAAATCCTGGCTACGGGCCTGGCCTGGGGCAATCCTTTGTTCAGAGGTGTTAGTTGACCCTGATTGTTTCTTGTCTGTAATTCCCCTGCTTTTGAGTGTTGTTCTTAAACCCCACTTGCCTAGTTTCTAACAGACTTCAACCAACACCTCCCAACAACGAATCCCCCTGCCAGCACCCAGCTACACTTTGAAGCTGCAATGCCATTAAATACTAATCAAGGTGGCCAAATGCAACATTCATACTTGCCTCAAGCAGACAAGAGTTCTTTCTCCCACACTGGACAGTGTACATAAACCTCACTTGCTCAGTGTCCAATAAACCTCACAACCTCTGAAGATGCTGCCATTGCAATTGGCCACCTTGATTAGCATTGCAGTTTCAAGGCCTGGCTGATTCCTACCTGGAGGAATCCTTTGTTGGGAGGTGTTAGCTGGCCATTACATGCTAATCAAGGTGGCCAATTACAACATTCACACCTCAAACAAACAAGAGTTCTTTTTCCCACCCTGGACATTCCACAGATATATAAACCCCATTTTCCTAGTTTCCGACAGACCTCACAACCTCTGAGGATGCCTGCTATAGATGCAAGTGGAATCACTGGGTTGCTGTGAATTTTTCGGGCTGTATGGCCATGATCCAGAAGCATTCTCTCCTGATGTTTCACCCACATCTATGGCAGGTATTCTCAGAGATTGTGAGACCTTACAACCTCTGAGGATGCCTGCTATAGATGCAAGTGAAACATCAGGAGAGAATGCTTCTGGAACATGGCCTTAGAGCCTGGAAAACTCACAACAACGCAATAATAATATCTGTTGTCGAAGGCTTTCATGGCTGGAATCCCTGGGCTGCTGTGAATTTTTCGGGCTGTATGGCCATGATCCAGAAGCATTATCTCCTGATGTTTTGCCCACATCTATGGCAGACCTTCGAGATTGTGAGACCTCTCAACTTCTGAGGATGCCTGCCATAGATGTGGCCGAAACGTCAGGAGAGGATGCTTCTGGAACATGGCCATACAGCCCGGAAAACTCACAGCAACCTAATAATAACATCACTTCTAACTAGCTTTTATACAGTTCCCTATCTACCTCTCATTTTAAATGCAATTGTTACACTTTGTCCAATAATCATCTTTATAATCATTCCTTCCCATAAAAGTCTATTGATTCTTCCAGTTATTTTTAAAGTTACTAAACAACTCATCTCTAACCAAAACTGTCAGCTTATCCATCTCTGCCAATTCATTCATATTTAATAGCATTCTTCTTTAGTAGGTATAATTATACCCTTCGATTTCTGAGCATATAATCATATTGCTGCTGTAGTTATCTTTTGGAGAACTCGCTTCCTATCTAATTGGTCATCCATCAGTCCCAGGAGAAAAAGTTGAGGCTTTCGTTCTATGTTAGTCTTTGAATATTTTCTGAATCAATGGACATATTTATGTCCAATATCTTTCAGCTTTATCACAGGTCCAGTGCATGCGATAAACTATCCCTTCTTGTTTCCCATATTTCCATCTAATATTCCAGTTCCCCTTATACATATTTGGCAATTTTTCGGGTGTCACCTCTGATTGATATATCACTTAATCACAATTCTCTCTTGGAAAATTCATATTAAATGGCCCTTTTTAATTGAGGTTTCTCCCCACATATGCCTGCTTGTGTTTTCTTTGTAAAACAGGCATGGGCAAACCTCAGCCCTCCAGGTGTTTTGGACTTCAACTCCCACAATTCCTAACAGCCGGTAGGCTGTTAGGGATTGTGGGAGTTGAAGTCCAAAACACCTGGAGGGTTGAGGTTTGCCCATGCTTGTTATAAAACCGGGTGCATCAGACTTCAGATTTCAGGATTACATGACAGTTAAAATGTCATCAAAGGACTAAGACTGTGTGCAATTAACCTTCAGTATCCATGAAGTCTGCACTATCCATATCTCACTATCCATAGTTTGAAAAGATTACTATCGACAGCCCCTCAAACCAAAATCAAACCTTGATTGTGTTCTTTGATATGAAGGGCAACATTTTATTATGCCACTATATATAATGGAACTTGAGCATCAATGGATTTTGGTATCCATGGAGTTTTCCTGGAACCAAAATGCAGAGGATCATAGAATTATGATTGGAAGAGACTTCATGGGCCATCCAGTCCAATGCCCTGCTAAGAAGCAGGAAAATCATATTCAAAGCATCCTCAACAGATGGTCATTCATCCTCTGTTTAAAAGCCTCCAAAGAAGAAGCCTCCATCACACTCTGGGGCAGAGAGTTCCACTGCTGAACAGCTCTCATAGTTAGGAAGTTCTTCCTAATGTTCAGGTTGAATCTCCTTTCCTGTAGTTTGAAGCCATTGTTCCACGTCCTAATCTCCAGGGCAGCAGAAAACAAGGTGTTGGTCCACTTCATAGAATCATAGAATCAAAGAGTTGGAAGAGACCTCATGGGCCATCGAGTCAAACCCCCTGCCAAGAAGCAGGAATATTGCATTCAAATCACCCCTGACAGATGGCCATCCAGCCTCTGTTTAAAAGCTTCCAAAGAAGGAGCCTCCACCACACTCCGGGGCAGAGAGTTCCACTGCTGAACGGCTTTCACAGTCAAGAAGTTCTTCCTCATGTTCAGATGGAATCTCCTCTCTTGTAGTTTGAAGCCATTGTTCCGCGTCCTAGTCTCCAGGAAAGCAGAAAACAAGCTTGCTCCCTCCTCCCTGTGGCTTCCTCTCACATAGCTATCATATCTCCTCTCAGCCTTCGCTTCTGCAGGCTAAACATGCCCAGCTCTTTAAGATGCTCCTCATAGAGCTTGTTCTCCAGACCCTTGATCATTTTAGTCACCTCCTCTGGACACATTCCAGCTTGTCAATATCTCTCTTCAATTGTGGTGCCCAGAATTGGACACAATATTCCAGGTGTGGTCTAACCAAAGAGGAATAGAGGGATAGCATTACTTCCCTAGATCTAGACACTATGCTCCTATTGATGCAGGCCAAAATCCCATTGGCTTTTTTAGCTGACACATCGCATTGCTGGCTCATGTTTAACTTGTGGTCCACGAGGACTCCAAGATCTTTTTCACATGTATTGCTATTGAGCCAAGCATCCCCCATTCTGTATCTTTGCATTTCACTTTTTTTCTGCCTAAGTAGAGTATCTTGCATTTGTCCCCACTGAACCTAATTTTGTTAGTTTTGGCCAATGATCTCTCTAATCTGTGAAGATCGTTTTGAATTCTGTTCCTGTCCTCTGGAGTATTAGCTATTCCTCCCAAATTGGTGTCATCTGCAAAATTGATGATCATGCCTTCTAACCCTTCATCTAAGTCATTAATGTTGAACATAACTGGGCCCAGGGTGGAACCTAAGGTTCATAATTATAGTCATTATCTCTTGGTTTCTGGTTCTGAGAACTTTCATCCCAACATGGTGGATCTTCCTTAATTTTAATCCACTCTCTCTCTTAATTGACTTATTCTTTTGTCCTCTTCCAGGGTGTAATTTTAGTTTTTCTAAAGGAAGGACTCTAAAGGATTGAGAACAGAATGTTATTCACAACAATGTTCCTCAACTTTTCGATATTTAGGATTTCCGCTCCTGCGATACCACTGGCTGTGCTGGCTGTGGCTTCTGTGAGCTAAAATCCAAAATATCCGGAGAACCAGAAACAGACAACTGCTGGGCGAGAAAGCACATCCTGGAAATCTGGAAGGCCTACCCTGTAATCTCAGATGTTAAATCCCTAGTTGTCATTTTGACGGGCGAAGATATTGTGCTCTCTGCTTTTCACATGCTCCAAATAACTCCGAGGATAATTCCCTGTGTTCTAGGACAAAAGTTGGCCACGGCAACTACCTTCTTGGGCAGAGCCCTTTGCTGGATTCTGTCCCTGATCCCAACTTTCATGTGTCATTCACCTCTACTTACACAGAGCTTCTCAATGTGTGAGTTTGCACACATATGCTTGCTTTGCACCATTGAGAAAACCAGGATCTTGATGCAAAGAGAGAGCGGTGCATGTTTGAAGCTGTCGACCTGTGCCTTCTGTGCACGGATTCCTAATGAATGTGTTGAAGTCAGGAGCAAACAAAGTGGGGAGCCCTTAATCCCCCTCCAATTGAGTTTGCTTGTATTGTCTGCAGACTTTGCAGCCAGGGCTTCGTTGTCATTCTACCTATGGTCCCTATAGCTGTCTCTACCCCCTTCCCTCTGGATCTGGGTGTGTGTTTACTTGTCTTGGTTTCCAAATCAATTTCTCTCCATCTGAATGCGGCACTTCGCCTGCATGGCCATTTATTTAGCTCTTCTCGTCTCCCTTTCATCTATCCACCCTTCCAGCCTCAGTCCATTGGTGTCCCTTCACATCTCTCTCCCTCCTTTTGCCTCTCTTTCCCCATCCCTCCCTTCCTCCCACCCATTAATCCATCTCTGTTTTCCCTTTCTTCTTTCCTCCCAGGGGTTCGTCTATGAGTTTGTGTGCGGGTGAATGTGCCTGTCTGCCTGTAGGAGCATATATATATATACATTTTTATCTTTTCTTATGGCAGGCTGTTGCGTGTCAGCGAGGGTGTGAGTTTGTGTGGGTTTGTTTTTGTTCAAAGGCAACGGCTGAGTGAGCATTTGTATGTGTGAGCTTGTCCCCAGAAATATGCGCTCCGTTTGGTCTCTTTCGGAGTGAAATGTTGTGTTTCCTTCCTAATGTGTTCTTTAGTGACTGCTGGTGTTGCAGTACTTGGAACTTGTTGTTCCTTTTGTCGTTCCCAGGGAGCTCAAGACCAGTTGGAGTATGTGCTCCGATACAGCTTTTGGACTCTATGCAGACTTTTCCATCTCAAAGCAATATCTGTGTGACTCAAAAAAATGCCAAACTTTCTCCCTTGCTTGGTTTTCAAAACAGCCGTCTTTCCCCGATGAAGAAAGAGTGGATGTCGGAAAGTTGCGTGGAAAATTCGATGCCCCTTTGGATGGTTTAATAAAATTAATTCCATGATATGAACTTTGGAATTTGCCATCAACATAGATCCAGTTGCGTGTGTGTGTGAGATGGTGTATTCACATCCAGAGATGACATGATTGCTATATTTAGATACCTGAAGGGATGCCATGTAGAAGACAGAGAAAGCCTCTCTTTATAATACTCCTGAGACTAGAACACAAACCAATAAATTCAAATTACAAGAAAAGCGATTCCACCTAAACATTAAGACAAATTTATTTACTATTAAGAGCTATTTGCTGACCAAAAGATCGGCGGTTTGAATCTGGGGAGTAGGGTGAGCTCCCGCTGTTAGCCCCAGCTTCTGCTAATTGAGCAGTTTGAAAAATACAAATGTGAGTAGATAAATAGGTACCGCCTTGGCAGGAAGGTAATGGCGCTCCACATAGTCATGCTGGCCACATGACTTTGGAAGTGTCTACGGACAATGCCGGCTCTTTGATTTAGAAGTGGAGATGAGCACCACCCCCCAGAGTTGGACACGCCTAGACTTAATGTAAGGGGAAACCTTTACCTTTATTAAGAGCCGTTTGACCATGGAATATGCAGTTTTGGATATTGGTGGGTTCTCCAACTTTGGAGATCTAGAAAGAGGTTAGATGGGATCTTTAAGCAGCGCAGGGAGTTGGATTAGATGGCCCTTGGCAGTCTCTTCCAAGATTCTATGTTCATTGTGTATGTGTAGTCACTAAGACAGATTTTTAAGCAGATGCTAGGTGGCTACCTGTTGGGGATGACATGACTGCATGTTCCTACATAGCAGAAGGGGGTTGGACTAGATGGCCCTTGTGGGTCTCTTCTAACTCAGTGATTCTATGATTACCTTAGCACTATTTTTATATGGGTTGAAATCCAGGGGTTGATGCAAGAAAATAAGGACTGAGACATAGTGCTGCCTGAAGTAGAACTCAATTGCTACCACAGTCCTGCTGCTTTGAAAGGTCCTGTTTCACCATGTTGCAGACAGCCATCCTCGTTTTCATCTACTCCCCTCCCTGCCCTGCTTCATCCTGCTGCATTATTGCGCTGCCCCTGTAAGGATGCAAAAAGAAGCACTGCTGGATCTGACATAAACATCTTTCAGAGCCAGACTCCTGCTTCCTACCGTGGCCAAGCAGATGCTTTTGGGAAGCCCCCAGACAAGGTTGGCTGGCATCAGCTCTTTCCCATCCTTCTTTTCCTGCTTGGATCTGGAGGTCCCTATAGCAGTTTGTAGTTGAGCATCCCTGAATCAGGCTCACCCTCCACCATGAATGGATGGGATTTGCATAAAGCGTTTGTCACTCAGCCTACAGTCAACTGACAAGGCTTTGGTCTATAGTGTGTTTATTTGTCAAGTGTGTGTCAGCGGTTCGCTACGGGTAAAAGGCTGGCACACGGATCATGAAGCCCCAGCCGTGTTTTGTCTGTGTTCGTGTGGGCAGGGTTCTCGAGTGTCTCGGTGTTTGTTTCTGTATCTCTGTGTATGTCAGCACCCGCAGTGTGTTGACAGGGCGATGGGTGGGCGACAGTGTCGGAGAGTAGGACCGCTGTGTTGCGGGGGAACTGTGGCTGAACGGTGACTTCTGCATCGCGTCGCTTAGCAGGGAGTCTGTGTGTGCGTGTCTGTGCATAAAGGCAAATGCTTCAAAGTGTTTGCATACGTGCCAGAATTTGTGGTATGGGGTGTCTGGAGAGAGTCAATAGCAGTGCAAACAATTATGGGGAGATTGACACATGTTGCACACTTTGGACGTAAAGGAAAGAAAATGGATGAGTGAAATCACAGAATCATATTGTTGAAAGAGACCCCAAGGGCCATCCAGCCCGACCCCATTCTGCCAATCAGGAACACACAATCAAAACACTCCTGACGGATATCCATTTAACTTCAGCTTTAAAAACTCTAGAGAAGGAGACTCTGCTGCACTCCGAGGCAGCATATTCCATTGCTATACACCTCTTACATCACCTTCCTAATGTTTAGGTGGAATTGCTTCTCTCTGCAATTTGCATCCAAGCTTGTCCCTTCCTTAAATTGACATTCTTTCAAATAGTTAAACATGGATATCCTGTTCCCTTTCAACCTCCTTGTCTTCAGGGTAAACATCTTCAGGGTTGCTGTGAGTTTTCCAGGCTGTATGGCCATGTTCCAGAAGCATTCTTTCCTGATGTTTCGCCTGCATCTATGGCAGGTATCCTCAGAGGTTGTGAGACCTGTTGGAAACTGGTCAAGTGGGGTTTATATATATGTGGAATGTCCATGGTGGGAGAAAGAACTCTTGTCCACTTGAGGCAGGTGTGAATATTGCAATTGGCCACTTTGATTAGCATTTAATGGCATGGCAGCTTCAAAGCCTAGCTGATTGCTGCCTGGGAAGTGCCAGCTGAGGTCTGTTGGAAACTAGGCAAGTGGGGTTTAAGGACAACATTCAAAAACAGGGGAATTCCAGACAAGAAACAATCGGGGCCGGCTAATCAACTTCCAACAAGGATTCCCCCAGGCAGTAAGTACCCAGACCTTGAAGCTGCAAGGGCTTTAAATGCTAATCAAGGTGGCCAATTACAACATTCACACCTGCCTCAAACAGACAAGAGTTCTTACTCCCACCCTGGACATTCCACAGGTATATAAACCTCACTTGCCTAGTTTCCAACATATCTCACAACCTCTGAGGATGCTTGCCATAAATCCAGATGAAAAATTGGTAGAGAATGTTTCTGGAATATAGCCATAACAGCCTGGAAAACTCACAGCAAAGTAGTGATTCTGCCCATAAAAGCCTTCGCCAATATATTAAACAACCTCAGCTCCCTCAGCTGCTCTTCACAGGGTTTGAACCCAGAATACTTGTGCCTCCTTTCCTTCCAAAAGCTAGTTCACACTCACTGTTCTCATCTGAATCGTCTCCATCTGCTGATTCTCCTTCTCCAGTTCCAGAGGACACAGTTGTTGCCCCTTGGCCTCTCATCCGGTCTCGTGTGGACAGCACCCCTTCCAGGCCAGGATGTGGGAAATACGCAGAGATTTGGGCAATGGGTCGGATAGGCCCTGGGGACACATCAATTGCCATGTGTTCCCGGATTGGGACCGGAGCACGATCTCCACGGCGCACCGTCATTGGCAGTGGTGGCACCTATAGAGGATGAAAGAAAGACATGTACTTTGGTTCAATTTCTTTCCTTGGTTGATTTCTTGGAACAAAAATATTAAATTTTGGACAGTGGGTCCTTGGTATCTACAGCTTGGTTCAAGGATCCCCATGGATCCCAAAATCTGTGGATGTTCAAGTAGTTAAATCCTGTAGTAAAATGGTAGGTAGGTAGGTAGGTAGGTAGGTAGGTAGATAGATAGATAGATAGATAGATAGAATTTCTTTTTTGATAATATTTTCTGTGATTGAATCTGTGGATGCAGAATCCTTGGATACTGAAAGCCAATTGTACTTTGCTTTAGGTTATTATCTGCTTGAATTCGGAAAGATGTGCATAGAAAATGGCTGCTGAGACATGTCAGCATAGGGGCCAAATGGTGGAAAGTGTGTTTGAAAGTTTACCCCTTCCTGTAATGTTTTGTAGTAGGTAGATTACATTCCTCACAGACAGTGACTTCCAGAATGAGGCTGGGGATCTTGGAGCTGTCATCCAATATCTAACTTCACCAAACGTCTGATTCATTGCATGTTCTGATTTTACTCTATGTAGTAGAGCATCTGTTCCTTTCAGTATCCAACCAGTTGCTTACAGGAAGCAATCCGGCAAGACACGATGAGGATGACTATCACCCACACTGTACCTCTTAGCAGGGAATAGTCAATGGAAGTGAAATTTCTTGTCAATATGAAAGGAAGTTAGTATGGTGTTGCAACAAGTAAAAACAATCAACAAAGTGAAACCAGCAACATAATGTTGTCGTATCCCACCTCTAGTGGAAGTGCTTCATTTCCAAGTTCAGTTTCCGTCCTTTCCCTGGATACTCCATTTTGTAAACAAACGCTAAGACAGCGTTTCTCAACCTGGGGGTCGGAACCCCTTGGAGGGTCGCAGGGGGTTTCATTGGAGTCACCAAAGATCATCAGAAAACACATAGTTCTGATGGTCTTAGGAATCCCTTTGCCATAGTTGTTTGGATTCACAGTGCTCTCCGGATGTACGTGAACTACATCTCCCTTAAATCCCTGTCAATTCATCCCAAACCCCTCCAATATTTTCTGTTAGTCACTGTGTGCCAAGTTTGGTTCAATTCCATCGTTGGTGGGGTTCAGAATGTTCTTTAATTGTTGGTGAATTATAAATCCCAGTCAAGGTCTGTTTTCCCCAAACTCCACCTGTGTTCATATTTGAGCATATGGAGTATCCGTGCCAAGTTTGGTCCAGGTCCAGCATTGTTTGAGTCCAGATGTAGATGAACTACAACTCCAAAACTCAAGGTCAATGCCCACCAAACCCTTCCAGCATTTTCTGTTGGTCATGGGAGTTCTGTCTGCCGAGATTGGTTCAATTCCATTGTTGGTGGAGTTTAGAATGCTCTTTGTTTGTAGGTGAACTATAAATCTCAGGAACTACAACTCCCAAATGACAAAATCAATCCCCCCCAACTCCACCATTATTCAAATTTGGGCATATTGGGTATTGTGTGCCAAATTTGGTCCAGTGAATGAAGATACATCCTGCATATCAGATATTTACATTACGATTAATAACAGTAGCAACATTACAGTTGTGAAGTAGCAATGACAATAATTGTAAGGTTGGGGGTTACCACAACATGAGGAACTGTATTAAGGGGCCGTGGCATTAGGAAGGTTGAGAACCACGGTCCTAGTGGAAGTGCTCTATTTCCAAGTCCAATTTCAGTCCTTTTCCTGGATACTCCATTCCATACACAAACCCTAAGACTTAAACCGGCATTCAACAATCCACTGAGCTCGCTGAATCCCACTGAGTGGTTCCAAAAGATTTCCAGACCTGGACGTTCCCTGCCTCACACTGATACGTCCCTATTCTGTCTTAGTAACTCCATTTCGGCTCTATTTCTATCAGCACTTGCTGCTGGAGTCCATTCTTGGAGGGATTATAGATCTAAGTGCCCTAAATGGTTTAATCTCCTTTTAAAGATATCTAAGCCCATGACTGCTGTCTCTATCTTCAAGTCGCTGAATTCAATCCATTAATGGCATGTAGAGTTCAGATACTTTTTGCTGTCTGGAATCTCATACACATCAGTTTCAAAGATCTGGGAGGAAGCAGCTGGGCATCATCTCTCTCCGCACTTCCTCCACATTGTGCACAACCTGTTGTCATATTCCCCGCTCTGTCATCTTTCCCCTCTACCCCAAAAGAAAAATCCCCTAAATGCATTTTGATTTCCTCATACAGAAAGGATCGTTTGGTTACTATGTCCTGCGCAGCCATGCGTACTATTTTTGTTCATAGACGTGAATCTTCCCTTCGCATGCCACAGGTGTTCACAGGTGACCAGTTTTGGACTGCTTCAGTATTTGCCATAGTGGGGAGACTTTGTGCTGTGCTCAGATTGAATAGTGTCAATTAATGGTGAGATTGCTCTTCCATCAGTGTACTTCTAATCACATCTGCAGAAACGATATGTGGAATTTGGCTTCCTGCTGCCCACTGTTTTTAAAATGTGTCCTATTCCATGAATTTGCCAGAAAAGCTAAAAGTTGTGCCTTTATGAGAAAAATAAATAATGCAATGTCCTTTCTCCATAAAACATAAAGGTAAATAATAATAATAATAATAATAATAATAATAATAATAATAATAATAATCTTTATTTGTACCCTGCTACCATCTCCCCAAGGGACTCGGTGCGCCTTACATGAGGCCAAGCCCACAATACATCAATTAAAAAAAATCAAATAAAACATTCAATACAATACAAATCATATAAATCACATAAACAAAAACAAGCAATAAACAATCAACAGTGACATACAAGGTTTCCCCTTGACATTAAGTCTAGTCGTGTCTAACTCTGGAGAGTGGTGCTCATCTCCATTTCTAAGCCAAAGAGCCGGCATTATCCATAGACACCTCCAAAGTCATATGGCTGGCATGACTGCATGGAGTGACGTTACCTTCCCGCCGAAGCAGTGTCTATTGATGTCACATTTGCATGTTTTTGAACTGCTGGGTTGGCAGAAGCTGGGGCTAACAACGGGGGCTCACCCCACTCCCCGGACTCGAACTGCTGCTCTTCTGGTCAGCAAGTTCAGCAGTTTAACCCACTGCATCAGCAGTGGGACTATGTAATAATCTAACCCAAAAACACACCGGCTGTCTCTATGGGTGCATCTATACCGTAGAATTGATGCAGTTTGACACCACTTAACACCACTAAAATTGGAACTATTTTGCACTCATTGGAGCTTACTTCTGAGTAAAATGTGTACTCAATTGTGCTTCAATTGAGTTAAATTAAACAACCACAACACAACACGTTTGAGATTAACAGTCAACGCAGCATTTGCATCCGCAAATCAATGCAATCTGGCAAAAACCCAAACAGTAAAATTCCCAACTCTAGTAGATATATAGGCAGAACAAGCGGCATTCATTTTCTGTGCTGTTCTCCCTCCCTCCCTCTCTCCCTCTTGTTTCCTTCCTTTTCTGCTTGCTGGGGGTGCAGAGAGACAATTACAACTCAATAAGGAAATTCATTGCTGGGAGCTGAAAAGCCTTTTGATACAACAGTTTATCTGGAGATCAGCATTCATGAGACACTTATTTTTAATTGATTACCATGGAATATTAACCACTATTAAAAGAACGACTTTGCTCAATTGAGTCCCACCGCATCTGCCCCTCTCCCCGAATGAGATTGAGAGCGAACGGCTATTTGACTTTTGAAAGGATATTGCTTCAATCAATCAATTTTCGATCAATCCATCCCTTCCGACTATTGCTGTTTTCTATTCCTTGCCCCGCAATGAACTTAGATGTATGGATGCATGTTGCAGATCTCCTCTAACTCCCTGGCACCTGTTTCTTCTCCATGCCAACTTCTCCCCCAGGATATCCAAATATACAAAACACATCACATCGCCTCCTTCTCTGATACTTTAGGTGGATCAACCAAATGTGCCCCATACATGAAGAAGCACACCTTTACCTACTATCGCCCCACCTTTACGCCTATTAGCCTCACTCTGTTACTTATTATCGTCACATATCCCCACAACTACACCCAAAAACCCACCATTTCCATCCCACTTTGGGTGCATTGACCAAATCTGCCCCAAAGCTCCATATTTGAAGAAGCATGCCTTTACCTACTGTCACCCCACCTTTACTCCTATTCGCCCCACTCTGTGATTTATTAGCCCCACACATCCCCACAACTACATCCAAAGACCCACCATTCCCATCCCACTTTGGACGGATCAACCAAATCTGCCCCAAAGCTCCATATTTGAAGAAGCATACCTTTACCTACTGTCACCCCACCTTTATTCCTATTAGCCCCACTCTGTGACTTATTAGCCCCACACATCCCCACAACTACATCCAAAAACCCACCATYCCCATCCCACTTTGGGTAGATCAACCAAATCTGCCCCATATATGAAGAAGCACACCTTTACTTACTGTCATCCCACCTTTACTCCTATTAGCCCCACTTTGTGACTTACTAGCCCCACATATCCCCACGACAACACCCAAAAATCCACTATTCCCATCCCACTTTGGGTAGATCAACCAAATCTGCCCCATATATGAAGAAGCACACCTTTACCTACTATCACCCTCTCTTTACTCCTATTAGCCCCACTCTGTGACTTATTAGCCCCACACATCCCCACAACTACATCCAAAAAACCCACCATTCGCATCCTCCCCAAGCAATCTCTCCCAAATTGCCACAAGACTCTGAAACACCTTAAGCCCACACACATATAGGACGAAACCTCTGAAACAACTCTTCCAAGTCCCCCTCTTTTGCAAAGAAACTCTGGTCCCTTTCTCTTTCCCCTCCAGACAACTTGTTTCCCCCCAAAACTCTCCATAGAAATCCCTGTCTCCACAAAGTGCTGACTCCACCTTCCCTCCTCATCCCTCCTTGGGACCCCCAACTCCTACCTGGGTGCTGGTCGTGTCAACAGGTAACAGCAGGGAGGGGTAAGGTGCAACAGCGAATGACAGAGACTGTGGATTGGGGGGATCCCAAAGACTTCGAGAGATAGAGCAGGCGAGAAGGAGGGAGGGAGGGAAGGAGGGATGGGAGGAAAAGAGAGAGAAAGAGAGAGAAAGAGGGAGGGAGGAAGAGAGAGTGCCAGAGAAGAAGGGGGTTGCAGGCAGGGAGGTGGAGACAATAGAGAAGGGAAAGGGGGGTGGTGGTGGTGGAGGGTGCTGAGATCTGATTTGCAATACATAGATTAGATTAGACCACAGCTGATAAAGGATGGCTCTGTACAACTGTGACATCGATTCTGGAAGTGTACATTTGTGGCACAGTTCCTATGCGATGCGCCTGTTTGTGATGCCCATTTGAGCTGTAGAGAAGGAGGGGGAAAAAGCTGATGATCCCAACTGATAATCAAGGCTGTGGGTAGATTTAAAACAATATAAAGGGGACTGAACAGGAATCTTGATCTGCAATGTTAGATTAAATATATGTAGCAAAAGGCTGGGTCAAACAGCACAAGCTCTTTCTTTCAATGGACCCAAGGGAAGGATGAGAGAAGACCAGATTATGCATTTTGATTGATCCTGCCTTATCCCTTGGGCTTCGGGTGGGTGGCGATTTTTTTGCATGCAAAAGTGGGAAGGGAGAGGGAAGAGAGAAAGAAACTGCATTAAGATGCAGTCCGAAATAGCCACAAATGGAATGAATTGCACAGAAGAGAAAGATCTGATGCGGATTAGATTGGAGTCTCTCTCTCCCTGTAGATGGATGGATGAACAGGAAAAAAAAACCTGCAGTTTCTTGAAAGCTGGGTGAAAAGGTATAAGGAGTGAACCCTTGAGACTGTATAGGGAAAAGTAAAGGAGGCTGACTGTATTTGTAGAAATTGTGATGGCAGGGAAAATCTCTAGAGGTGGACAGGACACAGAAACAGGATGGTGATGCAGATGATGGAAAAAATAAGTCTGAGAAATCATTGACTCTTTTTCTAGGAAAAGGTTATTTGATGGGACTCAACTTTGCTCAGAAACATCGTTTTCTCTGAGTTGCTGTGAGTTTTCTGCACTTTATGGTCATTTTCCAGAAGCATTCTCTCCTGACGTTTCACCCACATCTATGGCAGGAATCCTCAGAGGTTGTGAGGTCTGTCGGAAACGAGGCAAGTGGGGTTTATATATCTGTGCAGGCATGTAGCCGGGGGGGGGGGCTTGGGGGGCTTCAGCCCCCCCCTCAGAAATTCTCATGGTGGTCTGCAAAAAGGCCTTACTGGTACATTATTTAAACTGTTCTGTTTATTCATATCATGCTCTGATCACCATGCTCAATATATCCCATATGCATGGGGGTATTGGGGTAACGATACAAAAGGTTTGCTAGGGTAGACCCTCTTTCACTCAGACTCAGCCCCCCCAAATCAAAGTCAGCCCCCCCCCCGAATCAAATTCCTGGCTACAGGCCTGTATCTGTGGAATAATGTCCAGGGTAGGAGAAAGAACTCTTGTCTGTTTGAGGCATGTGTGAATGTTGCAATTGGCATTAAATGGCCCTGCAACTTCAAAGCAGACTACAGAAAAAAGCAATTGAAATCCACCAGTATGTGGACAATTTGAACAGAAAGGAGGAAACCATGAAATGAACAAAATCTGGCTACCACCATTTTTTTAAAAAAACTCTAAAATCAGGACAGTAAATACGAGCAACACTAAAAATGCAGGGGCATTCCAGAGAAGAATCAATCAGGGCTAGATAACACCTCCCAAGAAAGGATCCTCCAGGCAGCAGCCAGCCAGGCTTTGAAGCTGCAAGGCCATTAAAGGTTGTGAGGTCTGTTAGAAACTAGGCAAGTGAGGTTTATATATCTGTGGAATGTCCAGGGTGGGAGAAAAAAACCCTCTTATTTGCTTGAGGCAAGTGTGATTGCTGCAACTGGCCACCTTGATTAGCAATTAGTGGCCTTGTAGCTTCAAAGCCTGGCTGGTTGCTGCCTGGGGAGATCCTTTGTTGGGAGGTGTCAGCTGGGTCTGATTGTTCCCTGTCTGGAATTCCCTTGTTTTTTGAGTATTGCTTTTAATTTACTGTCCTGATTTTAGAGTTTTTTAAGTACTGGTAGCCAGATATTGTTCATTTTCATGGTTTCCTCCTTTCTGTTGAAATTGTCCACATGCTTCTGGATTTGAATGGCTTTTCTGTATAGTTTGCTTTGAAGCTGCAAGTCCATTAAATGCTAATCAAGGTGGCAAATTAATAATAATAAATAATCTATATAAATAAAAATGTAATGTTCATTTGGACCAAATTTGGACACAACCTACTTATCAGGCCAACGTGTGACCATCATTCATAAAAACACTGAAAAACACAGCAGAAGAGACTTAAAAAGTAAAAAAATCCCAAAATTTAAATTACAACACATGTGCAAAACCACACAACCTATATTTATAGATGTATATAAACACACATATACACAAATATACACACACAAAACACATATACACAGCAACGCGTGGCAGGGGATGGCTAGTATAATAATAAAACTTTACCTGTATTCTTCCCTATCTCCCCGAGGGGACTCAGGGCGAATTCCAACATAACAGCAGTAAACATTCAATTGCAACATTCACATTTGTCTCCAACAGACAAGAGTTCTTTCTCCCACCCTGGACATTCCACAGATAAATAAACCCCACTTGCCTAGTTTCCAACAGGCCTCACAACTTCCGAGGATGCCTGCCATAGATGTGGGTGAAACGTCAGGAGAGGATGCTCCTGGAACATGGCCCAGAAAACTCATAGCAACCCAGTGATTCCAGCCATGAAAGCCTTCGACAACACATCATTTGCTCTTCTGGAAGGCTTTCCAAAATGCAAAAAGGCGAAGTATCTGTACTAAATCAGGAGGGATTTCACACACTGCAGGGTTTGAATCATAGTAAAATTAATGCAGTTTAACACCACTTTAAATGCCATGACTCAATGCTCTGAAATTCTGAGTTTGGCGAGGCAATAGCACTGTTGGGCAGAGAAGGCTAAAGACCTTGCAAAATTACAACTCTCGTGATTTCATAGTATTGAGCCAAGTGCTGTCAAACTGCATTAATTTCACAGTGTAAACACACACCAAGGGAAATTAACGGAGCCCCATCCATAAGGAAGTTATCGAAGGCAATATATGATTTTAAGCACGGAGATACTGCTTTGACTAAAATGTCCTATAATCCTAACTCAATGCGCCTCCAGCCTTTGGGGTCTCCCAAGGCCAGAAGATCTGAACTTCCCTTTTCTTGAGATTCAAGCCCAGTCTCCAAAAACAGACAACATGTTTGAAGTTGCCTGGCAAAATATTATCCCTTGAGTTTGGGGCTTGAAGTTTTTTTCTTCCCCTTCTTCCATGCGCTTCCCCATCTCCCTCCCCACTGTTACTATGGCAACTTTGTCCTGGACCTATTCCAGACCAGGAAATATTTGTGATGCCGCATATGCTGTTGAATGACATTTTCGGCGTTAGTCAAATAGATAAACCTGGGTTTGGATCAGGCAAGGCGAGCCGGAGCCAAGAAATCTGAAGTTTCTTGGCAAGTGGGACTGACTGATACACTCAGTGGTTTGTACTTGCTTTCTGAGCAGGAGTTGGCTTTGATCTCGAAGGCCTGTCTTGCTACGAACCTTGGGGTGTTTTGGACTCCAACTCCCACCATTCCTAACAGTCTCAGGCCCATTCCTTTCCCCCCTCAGCCACTTAAGGAAGGGGCCTGAGGCTGTTAGGAATGGTGGAAGTCCAAAACACCCCAAGGGCCAAAGCTTGACCATGCCTGGTGTAGATGCACCCCAAGATCTTCAGCCCTTGAGAATCCAGACTCAGCAAGGAGCAGAGGAGAAGGGAGGCAACATCTTGTCCTTCCCAAGTGAGGCAAAAGCAAACTGCTGCATCCTATTCTGGTTTGTGTGTTTCTTCATTGATAACTTTAACCCAGTGGTTCTCAACCTTTCAAATGCAGCGACCCCTTAATACAGTTCCTCATGTTGTGGTGGCCCCCAACCATAACATTATTTTCGTTGCTACTTCATAACTGTAATTTTACTCCTGTTATGAATCATAATGTAAATATCTGATATGCAGGATGGATTTTCAATCACTAGACCAAATTTGGCACAAATACCCAATATGCCCAAATTTGAATACTGTTGGGTTGAGGAAGGATTGATTTTGTCATTTGGGAGTCATAGTTGCTGGGATTTATAGTTAAACTACAATCAAAGAGCATTCTGAACTCCACCAACGTGGAATTGAACCAAACTTGGCACACAGAACTCCCATGACCTACAGAAAAAAAACTGGAAGGGTTTGGTGGGCATTGACCTTGAGTTTGGGAGTTGTAGTTCACCTACATCCAGAGAGCACTGTGGACTCAAATAATGATGGATCTGGACCAAACTTGACACGAATACTCAATATGCCCAAATGTGAACACTGGTGGAGTTATAGACCTTGACATTTGGGAGTTGTAGTTGCTGGGATTTATAGTTCACCTAAAATCAAAGAGCATTCTGAACCCCACCAATGATAGAATTGGGACAAACTTCCCACACAGAACCCCCATGACCAACAAAAGATACTGTGTTTCCTGATAGTCTTTTGCAACCCCTCTGACACCCTCTTGTGACCCCCCCCAGGGGTCCTGACCCCCAGGTTAAGAAAAGTTGCATTGAGCCATTTTGACCACACCATGATCTTGCTTGGTTGTTAAATTGTGGAGCATATGGAAGAAGGCTTCCTTGCTCCTTTAGACAATAGAACCGGTGGAAGAGAAACATGAATACTGTTAGACTACAGCTTCCAGCATGCTGCAAGTCGCTTCTGATATTGAATGAGAGACTCCTTCCTGGGCATACAGAAGACGGGGCGACTTGGAAGGCACTGAACAGACTGCGCTCTGGCACCACGAGATGCAGAGTCAACCTTAAGAAATGGGGCCACAAAGTGGAGTCCACGATATGCGAGTGTGGAGGAGAGCAAACCACAGACCACTTACTACAATGCAGCCTGATCCCTGCATTGGAGGACGTTCTTATAGCAACACCAGAGTAACTCCAAGTGGCCAGCTACATGGGAAGCAGACCTAAAATTAATAAGAACACCAGTCCTGGCCTTGTCTTACTCAACTGCCGAGTATGCCTGCCCTGTTTGGCACAAGTCTGCCCATGCAAAACAAGTGAACATAGCATTGAACGAAATATGCAGAATAATCGCAGGATGTCTTAAATCTACACCTGTTGATAAACTCTACAAGCTAGCAGGTATTGCCCCCAGATGTGCGATGGGAAATTGCTGCAAACTGTGAGAGAAATAAGGTCAAACCCTGTGAAAGCCATCCACTGCATGGCTATCAACCTCCTTCCAATAGACTC